CTTGTCGTGGCTGAAGGAGAGAGAGGGGTGGGGGAGAAGGAGAGAGAGAGAGAGAGAGAGAAAAGAGATATATTTTTCTTTTTCTCTTCTAAGGGCCACCAGTCCTATCGGATCAGGGCTCCACCCTCATGACCTCATTTATGCTTAATTACCTCCTAAAGACCTTATCTCCAAATAAAGCCACATTGGGGGTTAGGGCTTCAGCATATGGATTTGAGGAGGATGCAATTAGGCCACAGCACCATCCCTCTCCCACCTGGCCCCATCCATCCACCCACTCCTCCCAACCACCTATCCTGTGCTCTTCCACCCATCCATCCAACAACTGTTTATTGCTCCATCTTATCGTGAGGTCACTTGTCACCTTTCCCAGCCTTTTCCCCTTGGCCTTTCTTCCGTGCTTTCAAGTCTCTGGGCCTTTGACATGGCTGTCTGCCCTGGGATGCCCTCCCCCACCGCCACCACCTCCGGCAGTCCTGGTACCCCTTCCTCCAGGAAGCCTTCCCTCACCAGCCCAGTGCTGGGGGGCGGTTTGCACACCGCTTCTCCCCAGGACAACCGCAGTCAGGGCCCTGGAGTGGTGGGGCCCTCAGGGCTCTGTGACTTTCCATAGGACCCATAATCCCAGCTGCAGGAAGAAAGACAGCCACTTCCTTCCCCCACCCTCCAACTCCTTCACCCCTGCCTGGCTGGGTCCCCACACAGTGAAGTGGGTGGACACAGAGTGACGTGTGCGTCCCCAGCGCCCTCCACTTAGATGCTGTGACTTGGGAAGAGAAGGGCTGCCGTCCCCCCACGTTCTTGCTCCATGGCCCAGTGACTGGGGGTGGCTGAGCGCCTCTTGCTGGTGTGGTGGGCGGGGCATTTTGCTGGAGTTTTATTGACCCCGTGCTTCTGGCAAGCAAGAGGAAAAAAGAAAAACCCACAAAAATCCCTTTCTCGGTCTCTGGGGGAAATTTCTGACATTTTGCCCGCCCTCTGCAATCAGCGCTCAGCTCAGCTGTGTGGCAGTGTTGGCCTGGGGTGGGTTCCTAGAGGAAGGAAACTGGGAGACCTTTGAGATCGAGACGTTTAGATATCACTGAATCTCTCCTCTCACCCAGCCTGTAATGCCCTTGGTAACGTCCTTGACAGCTCCTCCCCAGCCCTCTGCTTACACACCCTCAGTGACGGGGAGCTCACTCACTGCTTCATAACAAGGACAACAATTATCGCTGATGGAGCATGCTCTATGTCAGCCACAGTGCTAACCCTTCACCTACATTATCTCACTGAACCCTGATAGGAAACCCAGAGAGGAAACTTGGAGTTGGCGAGGTTCAGAGATTTTCCCACGGTCACGTGCTAGTAAGTAGCCAGCAAGGGCCACACTGGAGCCCCCACTGGCTCACTCAGAACATCTGAGTCTGGCTAATTCAGAAACCTGAGCCCTTCCCCCTTACCTGGTGCTGATCCACAAGGCAGAGCATGTCAGTGAAGAGCCCATGTGGGGGCCACAAACCTTTTCCTATTCTGCCCCTTACTTCCTGGATCACCCTCCCCTTAGTGCCCAGACTCACTCCCCAGAGTGGGAGGAGGGGAGCCTGCAGATGTGTGAGGGCTGCCTTGGTGCGGGAGGACCCTGTGAAGCCAGGCCCCGTGTTAGGCAGAGAGCATGGCTTGCTTGGGGCCTGCTGAGTGGACCTCATCTTGTCCCAGAAGCTGAGGGATTCTCCACGGGCTGTGAGCAGGAAGGAGGAGGAGGAGGCTTCCTTGGCCCTCCGGCCCTTGGCCAAGCTTGGTGGGGGAACCACAGTTCCTTTCCCAGTCTGTTCTCCCTCGGTCACCAAGAGGGACACATGGCCAACATTTTTCAGTTCTAATTCCAGAGCCTAAGAAGAAAGCATCCAATGGTGCAGAGGCCCAGATGTCCACCTCTGCTCTGGCTCCCCCCGGCCCTGGACCACTGCTGGAGGGAGGGGTGACTGAGGGAGCAATTCTCCAAGAAGGCCAGCCTGTGGGCTGGGAAGCCCTTCAAAAACGTGTCTGCTGCCCCAGGCTGTTCGAATTTGGGGTGGTGCTGCTGGGAGCCATGGGGACACACTCCAAGGGCACCTCACCTGACTGGAGCATGCAGGGGTCTTCCTTGACGAATCAACGCTCATAACTCTTTGGCTCTGTCTGCTTCCAGCCCCCGTGGCCTTTCTGTTCTTGGCACAAGCCACATTTGTTCTGCCCTCAGGGCCTTTGCACAGGAGGTTCCCTCTGCCTGGAGTGCTCTTCCCACAGCCCTCTGCGCAGCTGCCACCTTCGGGCCTCGGGGACTCGGCCTCCCCGATCCCCCTCCCTGGAGCTCTCCCTCCTCTCCCTCTGCCTTCTCTCTTGGCTCCTGCTTTATTTTCTTCAAAGTTTGTATGCACACTGGAAACCGGCTTGCTCATTTCTTTCTTGTACTTGCTTGCCTCTCTTCCCCCAGGCCCGAGGATCAGCTCCTCGGGAGCAGGGACCTCACCCTCTCCAATCTCTCAGTCAGAGCCTGGCACAAAGGTGGTGGTCAATAAATGTGAGTTGAGTGAAAATATAATCCCACCACCAAATGAGTCACTTGAGTCCTTGAATGGATTTCCTGCAGCATGGGCTTTCTAGAGTTCACCCCAAACAGCCCCTGGTGCTGAGAGGTGATTTTAAAGGGATCCAGAGAGGGGAACTGGATGGGGTCAGAAGATCAGGAAAATTCCACCAGTGGATGGGATTTCAGCCTGACCTGGTTGGATACAGAGGGTTCCCAGTGGGTAAAAAGGGAGATGGATAGGCAACTCAGCCTGGGCGAAGAACATTTGTATTCGTTCCCTAGAGCTGCCATCAACGAAGTACCATAACCTGAGCGGTGGACACAACAGAAATGGGTTGTCTCATAGTTCTGGAGGCTGGAAGTCCAAGACCAATGTGCTGGCACGGCCATGCTCCCTCAGAAGGCTCTGGGGAAGGTTCTCACCTGTATCCCAGCTTCTGGTAGTTCCTTGGCTGGTGGCAGCATGACTCCAGTCTTTACCTAGCTGTGTTCCTGGGTACATGTGTGGCTCATACCCAAACGTCCCCCTTTTTATAAGAACGTCGGTCATCTTGGATTAGGGCCCACCCCAATGACTGCATTTTAATTTAATTACCTCTGTAAGGACCATGTCTTCAAATAAGATCACATTCTGAGATACCGGGGGTTAGGGTTTCAGCATGTCTCTTTTGGGGGACAAAATTCAACCCATTACAACCTTCCAGGACATAGGAGGGGTGTCAGAGTAAAGACCAAGGTACTCAGTGGTGGCTGCAGCATAGAGCCCATGAAATGAGCCATGTACTGTAAGGCCAGAGCAGGAGTCGGAGCCAGAGGGAGGCCTGGGAATGCGAGGCTGGGTCCATACTGATTTGGTGGTCAGAGCACGTATTGATCAGATATATGTGTCAGGCCCTGTGTGAGGGGAATCATTGGTGAGCAGAAAAGAAAAGATTCAACCTTGAGGAGCTGACAGTCATGGGAGGAATTCAGATACTAAGACAATTTATCCCACAAATAAGTGTGATTACACATCTAGATTAAATAGATTACAGCAGAGTTAGGTATAGGAGGGCGAGGCACATGATCTCTGATGGTTTATAACAGGGGTCCTGACTAAGTTGCTGACAAAATGACACCTTGACAATGATGTGAAGGCTGAGCAAGAGTTTACGAGGGGAAAGGCGAGAGGCGCATTCCCGGCAAAGGGCCAGCTTGTGCAAAGGGCCTGGGGCCAGAAGGGAGCACGGCCTCTTTGGGGGACATGGAGATTCCAGTGTGGCTTGAGATTAGACAGTAAGGAGGCTGTAGGTAGGCAGAACCTCCTTAACCACCGTAAGGACCTAAGGCTCTATCGTGGGAGCCATGAGATGCCTTTGAAAATTTTAGGCAAGGGGTAATGGGGTCACATTTACCTCTCTGAAAGACCACTGGGGAGCTACCAAAATTTTCTGAGCTAGAGGATGCCAGCCATCAAGCTAGTATTTCTGAGAGGTTCTTACATGTTTTTCTAGAGCAGGAGCTTATCTTGGGGTCCACGGACTCCCAAGTGTCCATGGGTAGATTTCAGGGGGGCCTAAACCTGAATGAGTTCACTCCTTTTCATCAGCCTCTAACTAAAATGCCCTGTATGAATTCCCTCCATTATGAATTAGGACAACAAAGCAATGATATCGTAGTGTCTGCAGCTTTTCCAACAGTAGAAATCAGATATTCTCAGGATATCACGAAATACTATTTATGCTCATCAGTACTTTGAAACTATGATATTCATTAGATTTTATTTAATGAGTTTACAAAGAATCACATATATTGCTATCTCTTAGATTATTTTAATGCTTTGATAACCGTGCTCTCACGTAGCTAGGTTCCTTGGTAACCCGATGTATTTTATCTTATGCACTTAGAAACATGATTCCAAGCGGTGTCCCATGTTTCCCCAGAATGACTAGGCGGCACAAGGAATGTTGAGGACCCATGGTTTAGCCTAACTTATTTATGTCCGAAGTTAGGGTAGAGAAATAACTGGCTCGATAACAAAGAAGACGGTGGCGCCATAAATTCAGTTTGGACGTCCTCAGGAGTCCTTTTCTCTCTGTCCTGGACTCTACTTGTGTCTGAATCGCCTCCTTCTCAGGCACGCCGTGGCCACGCTGCACCTGCCACGATCCCACAGCCCTGGGTTTAAACTGCCCTTTACGCCAGGCATCCAACAGCAAAGACAGGCGGCCTTAACTGGTAGATTTTGTGAAACTCTCAGAGATGGGGCTCACTGGCTGGCACGGGTCATGTGTCTCTGAACCAATCGTCGTGGTGAGGAAGATGTGCTCTGATTGGCTTATTTGGGGCACGTGTCCATCCGGAAGGACGGGGTATTCTGATTGGCCTATCTGGGTCATGTGCTCATCCTGAAAGCTGAAGGATGAGGTATTCTGATTGGCTTATCTGGCTCACGTGCCCATCCGGGCCTCAAGCAGTGCGTGGTAGGCATCCGGGCTGGTACCGTCCCTGGCGCGAGAGCTGGGCGGGCAGGCGAAGGTGCTCTACCTCTTTGCCCCACAGTTTGGTGTCCACGCCGTGCATCGCCCATCCTTGTGTAGTGGGAGTGAGGGACTGCAGTCAGGCTGGCTGAGGCTCCTCAGGGTCTAGGGCCTTAGGGCTCCCCCGTTCCTGCAGGGAAACAGGGCTCCTGCCCGAGTGACAGCAGCCGGTGCTCCTCCAGCGCTTTTGCTAAGCACACCTGTTTATTTTCACAAGCCCTTTACCTGGCTCAACAACCGAACAGGGGGATCCTGTTAACGTCACGGTGCCCCTGAGTCATGGAACTTGCCCAAGCCACGCATTGGAACCCCCAGGCCCAGGTCTTCCACCCAATCTGTGCTGTTGCTCCCGCCTGCCCGCTGACCTTAGTTAGGCAAGGTCTGCTCTGGCCCCGGCAACGCCTCCGTGTAGAACCCGATAGCTGGACTCGCACGTTTGGAGGGCGTAGGGGTGGAGCTGGGAAGGGCTTTAGGGATGAGAGGTCAAGTCTGGGGAGGTGAGGTCTTCGCCAAGGCGGCTTGGCCTGGAGCTTCTCTGCTTCCTTCCCCAGGGCTGACCTCGCAGCAGCCGTGCGCACAGGGGTCATCTGACTGCAGGAAGCAGTGTGACCCCGACTACTACCTGGACAGGGACGGCCGCTGCAAGGCCTGTGTGACCTGTTCTGGAGGTAAGGGCCTTGTTCTCCCCTCCAGGGGCAGCTTCGGGGGAGGGGAGGCCTTTGGGGAGGGGGAGTAGGCAGAGAAGGTGGGGAGCATCAGGATTTGGTGCCTGGACTCTTGAGTTGGCCCCCTGGTGCCTCAGTTTACCCCTCTGAATTTGTGAATTGATATCAGCCATGAGGTTTTGCATCCGTTTTTAGAGAGACTTCCTTAACATGTTTCTTCAAGGGAGGAACTCACATTTATTGAGTTTAATCTTCACAAAACCCCTTTGAGATTTTTTTTTTCTTTTTTTAAAGTAATCTCTCTGCCCAACTTGGGGTTCAAACCCATGTCCCTGAGATGAAGAGTCGCATGCTCTACAGACTGAGCCAGCCAGGGCGGGGGGTGGGGGAGGAAAGTCTTTTCTTATCCCTGCTTTACAGTGAGGAAACCCAGACTCAGGCAGGTCAAGGGCCTTGCCAAAGTTACAAAAGTCTGGTAAGTGGCAGATCTGGAGTTTGAGCTGTCTGTCTGACACCAAGAGCTGTGTTCTTTACCTAAGACCACAAGTGCTTCCAGGAGGAGGCTTCCCATAGCACTTTCACTGTCAATTTCTTATTATAGTTCTTGAATGTGGTTTGTGTGCTCTCTGGTGTTTGTTTTGTCTTGTGTGGGTTTTTTGTGGGGTGGGGTTGGGAAATTTGTTGAGATTTCTTGCACCCTAATGTTCATATTTTTAAACCATGTTTAGTGTGTTTGGGGGAAAAAATGTGTGTTCTGTTTGTTAGGTACAAAATTCTCTATATACCTATCAGATCAAGCTTGTTAATTGTGTTATTTTAATAATATGCATTCTTTCAAAATGATTTTTTAAGTTTATTTATTTAAGGAATCTCCGCACCCAACGTGGGGCTCGAACTCACGACCCCAAGATTAAGAATCACATGCTCTATCGACTGAGCCAGCTAAGTCCCCCGAAATAATATGCATTCTTTATTTTTGCATTCTTATTTTTGTCACCTTCCCAAAGGTTGACGTCTGAGATAGATGTGTAAAATCTATCTCCCCTGTGCTTGTTTTTCATCAGATTTTCATTGTGTTCTGTTTATTTTTCCTCTCTATACGTCAAAGCTGTTATTAGGTACAATGTTCATGAATACTGTGTTTTCTTGGTGTGTTAGACCTTTCACCAGCATGAAATATACCTCTTTGCTCCTTACAGTGTATTTGCCTTAATTCCATTTTGTTTGATATTAATATTGCCATTCTTCTTTGTCTATGTTAGCATTTCTTTGGTATATCTTTTAAGTTTTTAAAATTAGTGACTGCATTGTATTAAATGAAAGTTATAGGCATTCATTATAAAACATTCAAGCAATACATAAGTGTGAGGAAGAAAGCCAGCTCTGCCCCCTTCCCCCTCGTTGGATGTCTGACTGACACTTCTCTGTATCTCTGTATAGAGGGAAGAATGGGAATGTTCGCAGCCAGACAGACTATACACACACAGAGAAAAGGGATTTTTTTAAAAAGATTTTCTTTATTTGAGAGAGCGAGAGAGCACGAGTGTGTGCACGCGCGCGCACACACACGAGAGGGAGGGGCAGAGGGAGAGTGAGAAGCAGACTCCTCGCTGAGCAGGGAGCCCAAGGTGGGCCTCGATCCCAGGACCTGAGACCTGTACTGAAGGCAGCCGCTCAACCAACCAGGCACCCAGGCACCCTGAGAAAAGGGATTTTTAAGAGGATGGGATCATACTGTTTATGACATTCAAGTGATTACATTTAATTTTATTCAAATGTATCAGAGAAGGAAGAAACTGAAGTGAAAATAAAACAATCACAAGAGAGCAGTTTGTAAAAATAAAACCCTCTAAAATTAAGAAGAGGCTATGAAAATCAAGAAGCAGTTGGAAATCATTAAAGGAATAACTATCTCTTGTGGTAAAATCATGTTCTGCTTGTTTCAGTTTTGGGATGGGATAGAGTAGATTGGCTTCCTGTAATGAAAAATGAAGTAATTAGCTTGCTGCCTCCTTATCCTCTTCCTGACTTTTATTACTTACTTACATTTTTTTTTTACTTTGTTATTGCCTATGGTGTTTATATTCTTTTCTGTAACCTTCAGTCCCTTGGCCTGTTAGCTTTACTTTGCTATTTAAACGTACTCATTGTGCACTATGAGTACATTGAACACAGCTTCTCTGTTCCTGAATTTTTCATTTTGATTTATTGCTTGATTGGTTAGATTTCACTGACCTGTACCTGTACCTTTTTTTTTTTTTTTTAAAGATTTTATTTATTTATTTGTCAGAGAGAGAGTGCACAAGCAGGGGGAGTGGCAGGCAGAGGGGGAAGAAGGCTCCCCGTTGAGCAAGGAGCCCAATGTGGGACTCATTCCCAGGACCCTGGGATCATGACCTGAGCTGAAGGCAGGTGCTTAACCGACTGAGCCACCCAGGCGTCCCACTGAATTTATATTCTTATTAACTTCTTTTATAGTGTGAAGCACTCTTGGGATTGCTTCTGTTTTAGAGTGGGTTCTTTATCTTTCCAAAATGTATTTCTGTCTCTTTTAGATCTTTCTCTTTCTTTTTCTGTCTTCCCTTCTCCCTCCCTTCCTTCTTTACTGCTATAGTGTGTTTGCACTTCTCTATTTTTGCTTAAGCTTAGCAGGGGCAGCAGCTCTGTTACTGCCTTCTTTCTGCCCTGATACAGTGTGACTTCTCCTTTACACCCACCCCACCTCACTGGGCTCTGGTTTGTCTTTTCTGCTCAGAGCTTCAGCTGGGGGCTGAGCGTTCCTTTTCAAAAATACTGTGGTAAAATGTAAATAACATAAAATTGATCATTGTAACCATTTTTTAAAAAGATTTTATTTATAAAAGAGAGAGAGGGAGAAGCAGGCTTCCCGTGGAGCAGGGAGTCCAACATGGACTCCATCCCAGGACCCCGGGATCATGACCTAAACTGAAGGCAGACGCTTAACCGACTGAGCCACCCAGGTGCCCGATCATTGTAACCATTTTAAGTGTACTGTTCAGAGGCATCAAGTGCATTCACATTTTTGGCAACACTCTCACCATTTCCCAGCTCCAGAACTTGTTCATTTGCCCCAGCTATAACTCTGTCCCCGTTGAACAGTAGCTCCCTAGCACGGTGCCCCCAGCCTTTGGCAATTACCATTCTACTCTCTGTGAATTTGACTACTCTAGGAAGTTCATGTAAGTAGAATCCTAAAATATTTATCTTTTGTGACTGCCTTATTTCCCTGAGCATCATGTCTTCAAGACATTATAGCAGGCCTCAGGCTAATACACCATTGGATGGATCGACGACATTTTATCCATTCCTGCTGATGAACACTGTAGTGCTTCTCCCTTTTAGCTGTTGTGAATAGTGCTGCCGTATACGTACGTCGACCCATAATCTGTTCAGGTCCCTGCTTTCAGTTCCTTTGGGGTATATACTTAGCAGTGGAATTGTTGGGTCATGTGGTCATCCTGTTTAATTTTTTGAGGAATCCCGAATGTTACTTTTGAAACTGATTTTAGGAGCCAGAGGGCCTGGGTGGGAGGCAGAGTGCAGCCAGAGATGGGCGTCGTCCTTGCTGGGGAAGGGATCTGCCTTCCCTTCCATCAGAGGCATTACCAGAGCTCCTGCTACCCGAAAAGAGGTGTACCCCACTCCCGGGGCCTCTGCTCATTTCCACTGGGCCTGCCTTCCTGAAAGCAAGTCCAGCAGCCTTTCCCACCTTTGCCCAGGCCTGAGATACTATGTTTGGGCTGCTACTCTAAGGGCTTTTTCCTTGAATTTTCCAGGGATGTCTACTGTTTGCCCTCAGTCTGCCTCTCCCTTAGATTTTCTAGAATTCTCAGGACTTTATTCTCTGCTCAGTACTGCTCCTGGGGTGCAGGCGAGAGTTAGGGGCTACTCCTGGGCCACTACAGCTAGGAAGAGACAGATGAGAGAGCCTCATGAGATGGTTTTAGGGGCCAGGCCTGGGAGAAACGCCTATCATTTTTGTCCACATCTCATTGGCTAGGATCCTGTCACATGATCCAAACCCAACTGCGAGGGAGGCTGGGAAATGTAGTCTTTCTGCGGGCCAACATGAAATGAACGGGTAAATACAGCCTTGTGCTCCAGCGGATTCTTTTTTTATGGCTTCGATTTCCTTTCTCTCCTTCCTTGAGCTCCAGGGGATTCCGTTTTATAGCTGCAAGTTTCTGAGACTGTTAATTGTACTGATTCTAACGGCTTGTTCCGTGGTTTTTGTTTTTGTTTTCTTTTTCTTTTTTTTAATCTGCTCTTTCGAGAGTTCTTTTTGAGTTTGGAGCTCTTTTTTCTTGGTGCTGGTTTTCTCTCGTGTTTGGTGACGCTTCTGCACACATTGTATCTGATCACTGGGGTAGGGGAATGTGTTCTTTAGTGGCTGATCTTCTGGGTCTGCAGGGTCCCTTCCTCCCACATAGGACCAGCCCTGGGGCACTGTCTCGCTCACCTCACCCAAGAGTCTCCTGGGGGAGATGCTTGGCTTCTGGATCTGTGGCATAAGTGGATGAGAAGCGTGGGGAGACTGACCCAGCTGGGTGCTCCTGCTGCAATCCCTATCGGCTTCCCTGGGGCCTGCCCGTGCCCTGTACCCGCTGGGAGGCTGGAGTAACCCCCACCCCCCACCCCCCACCGAGCCTCTCCCAGAAGAACCCTCTTGGGTATATTTTGGGCTGAAGGCTTTGGTCTTCTTCTTCCATGCAACCCCACCTGCCTTCTGTGTTTCAGGAAGCCTTCGCCATTTCTGGTTGACCAAGGATGCCTTGTGTAGCTTTCCACGAATGTTTGCATTTGCCGATTACTTATACCAGTGATTTTTTTTTTTTCTCTTGAGATAAAATACACCATTTTATTTATTTATTTTTTAAAATTAAGTTACTTATTTATTCTTGCAAGTAAGCTCTACGCCCAACATGGGATTTGAACTCACGATCCTGAGATCGAGAGTGGTGAGCTCTACCGACTCAGCCAGCCAGGCGCCCCTAAAATTCACCATTTTAAAGTGTGCAATACAGTCACAATATGCAGCCACCACCACTATCTGACTTCAGAAAATTTCCACCTCCCCCAAAAGAAATCCCTATCCTCCCAATTCTCCTCCCATTCCACTCCCTTCCAGTCGCGACTCTACATTCTATCTGTGTGAATTTGCCTACTTTGGACCTTTCAAAGCCATTAATATATGGCTTTTAGTGACTGGCTTCTTTCACTTTGCAGTGTCTTCAAGGTTCATCCATGTTGTAACACGGGTTCTTTCTTTTTGTGGCTGAATAATATCGCATTGTATGGATAGACCACATTTTGTTTATCCATTCATCGGTTGATGGACATTTGGGTTGTTTCTACTTTTTGGCTATTACGAGCAATACTGACATGAATATTAGGTTTAGGATCCTCCTCCCAAACCCCTGGCAGCCTCTGATCTTTTTAATGTCTCCATAGTCTGGTCTTTTCCAGAATGTCACAGAGTTGGAATCACATGGCACGTAGCCTTTTCAGACTGGCTTCTTTCATGTAGCAATATGCATTTAAGTGTTCCCCATGTCTTTTTTTTTTTTTGGCCCATTTTAAAATGGGGGCATTAATTTCTTTTTAATATGATTGTACTGACGTCCGGGGATCTGGGCGGGGAAGTGGAGGCTGCCTCATTGGCCCCGCCTGGCTTCTTGCCCCCATTGCAGGAACACTCTGGAAAGAAGGGCTGAGCATGCCAGCTCCCTGCCCAATGGGAGGCCAAGGCGGCATCTTCTGTCACGTGCCAAACTGGCTCTGAGGGTTCTCTAGCTCCCTTCCCTGTCCTCCCCCTGTGCCCTGTGACCCTTCTTTGTGTCCCTTAGATGATCTTGTGGAGAAGGTGCCGTGCTCAGGGAATTCCTCCCGCGTCTGTGAGTGCCGGCCTGGCATGTTCTGTGCCACATCAGCCGTCAACACCTGTGCCCGCTGCATCCCCCACTCCGTCTGCCCCACAGGGATGGTCGTCAGGTTCCGGGGTAAGTATCCCCACCCTCAGCCCAGCACCAAGATCTGGGCCCAACTGCACCCCTCCCCTGCCACTGCCCCAGATCTCCAAACGACCTTCGACCTCCCACTTCCTCCTTCCTGTTGGACAGACTGCTGTCTCCTTTCGAGATCCCGTAGGTGCACCAGCCACTGCAGAGCCCCCTTCCCTGCACTTTGTGTCCCTGGCTCAGGAGACCCTGATGGCCGGAGGCACAGGCCTGCCTGGATGAGGTCTTGGATTGGTTTGAGGCTCGGGGCAGAAGTTCTCTGATGCCTGGTAAACAAGAAGCAAACCTCAAGTCTCTGTCCTGGGAGTTCCCCAGAGGATTAGGGCCAGTTTCCCCAACTCACTATTGAGGCATTGAGAGTTAGAGTTGCTGAGACACTTGGGTTTCTTTTCCAACTTGCTGTGTGAGCCCAGGCAAATTCCTTACCCTCTCTGGGCTTCTAATTTTCTGACAATACAAGGAGGCTTGTGGCCAGAAAGGAGGTAAGGGGCACGGATGCTGTGTGGGTGGTATTGAGGGCACCTTTCAGAAGGGAGGCATGGGGGTGGGTGGGCTTCGGACCATGGCCCCATAGCGGTGCCACGGCCACACAGGCTGGGGAGGGGGCAAGATGGAATCAGAGGGAGCCACGCCCACTGGGGAGAAGAGTGCCAGTACCCAGCCCATGACACTCCCACTTCTAACCCGGTCCTTTTCCAAAGCCCCATCCTTACCACCCTCTCTCCCACTGTCCTTCCTTCCTTTCCTTCCCTCACGCCCGACAGCCAGCGCATCTCCCAGTCCCATGGCATTTGCTCCCCTAATTCTGTCTCCCATTCCTCACCCCCAGTTCCTCCTGTCATTCCTTGCGCATGGCAGACAGGCGGGGCCACCCTTGCAAAACCAAATCTGATTCTCTCTCTTTCTCTCTGTCACACAAACACACATGCACACACACGTGCTAAAAAAACACTTTAGTATCTTCTCATTATTCCAACGATAATGACATGATTCTTTGGCAGAAGAGAACAGGTTTTTGGAGGCACTTCTTTTTTAAAGTCTGTGCTATTTGGCATTTCTGGGCTGCTGGCTTATTTGGCTTCATGTCTCGGATAGATGAACAAAGAGAAAACCCAAGGGACTCACCACTGTGTCATTCCTTGGGTTCCAAGGCCTTCTCCTCTCCACTGTTCAGAGTCTTCTTTGTTTAGACACATGCACATGGCGTTTAGCTGTCTTTAGTGGGAGGACTAGGGGAAAGGGCACCCACTCCATCTTCCCAAGGCAGTCTCCAGGATGTGATCCTGTACGTGGTCCTGTGCCATGCATGTTGTCCTTCCTCCAGCCTCAGACTCAGTGCCTCCTTTCCTGGCCCCACTTGATCTGCTCTCTTTCGATTCTGTGGGTGCGCGGTGTTTCTCCCTCTTACCAGGCCTTTGTGCATGCGGTTCCCTCTGCCTGGGACACGCTTCCCTCCTGTTCACTCAGTCAGCTCCTCAGCCTTGAGCTCTCTGTCCAGACATCACTTCCTCAAGAGGGCTCCTGCGACTTGTCACAGGTCACGTCTGCATTGTGATCTCTTATCACACAGTGTTTTTCGCAAACATGGATATGAACATTTGTGTCTCTCTTGGTTTGATCAGTGCTGGCCTCCCTCCCTGGGCCGTAGCTTCGTGAGGGCCAAGACCATGCCTATGGTGCTCCTGGTCATCTAGGGCCACAAGCAGGGCCAGGGGGTGGAGTGGAAAATGCTCTGGGCTGGGCATCAGACACCTGGGGTACTGTTAGCTTTGCATGTGTGGGGCGTGTTCCCATCCCATCCTGGGCTTCAGTCTCCCACCGGTAAAATGTGACGTTGTCACTAGAAGGCCTTGGGGGACTTTCCAACTCAGAAACTCTTGCATCTCTGGGAAAAGTAGTGGAGGTCTGTTGTTCCAGCCCGTGAGGCCCTTTTCGTGGTGTTCCTGCGACTGCCACGTGGTGGCGCCAGAGGCCTCTCTCTGCTGCCCCTGGACCCGTGCTGCCCCTAGCGGTCCCCCTGGCCACATGCGGCCAGAGAGCATTTAAAATGTGGCTCCTTGTGTTGAGATACACTGTCAGTGTAGAATATTCACTAGATTTCAAACACTTAGTAGACAAAAGTGTAAAACAGCTCATTAACTCTTTTTTATATTGAATATCTACCGACCTATTTGAGGTCTATTGGGTTAAATAAATTAACTTCACGTGTTTCTTTTTACTTTTTAAAATGTGGTTACTAGGCAATTTCAAATGACATGTGTGATTCCCATCATATTTCTATGGGACAGCGCCGCTGGCTAACTCCTGGACTCCCCTGTGGATGCTCCCACAGGGCAACTCTCCAGCCGTAAAATGGAAAGTAGTTTCTGCTTAGGAGTCAGCCCATAGCTAAGCTGCAGGTGTTCTCTCCTGAAGGGCTCAGAACTCCATCAAGCAGGCTGAATTAGCCGTCTTTTACAACTGAGGAAACTGAGGTCCAGAGATGGGTAAATTGCTCCAGACTACAGAGCAGGGAATATCTGAACCAGTCCTCATCACCCCACTGCACTGAGAAGCACAAGACACACCCTCATTGCTCATGTCACCTCCACATCCCACATGTGGGACACTTTCTAAGCAATGGACAGGAGTCCAGATGGGGAAGAGGACATGCTGTTTATTAGACATTTACTATATATCACACAGTGTGATGGGTACAGTGAGGATGTGATAGAGTATCAGGTGAACTCAGATCTGCTTATAGAAAGTGCTGTGTGTTTTCCTCTTTACTCCACTTGCACCCAGTATTCTTTAGGAATCTTTGAGTTGCTGGTAACAAAATCTCAAAATTTTTTGGTTCATGTAACTGCAAAGTCTGGGGCTCGCTCTGCGTGATGTCAGGCATGGCTGGATCCAGGAGCTCTGTCTTTTCCTATTTCTCATCTCTCCTCCCCTATGTGTAGGTATCTGTAAGACACCTACCAGCAGCTCCCGGCTTGCTTCCCACCCAACCCCGGAGGAAAGATGGCTCCTCCTTCCTACCTTTTCAAGAACCAAAACTAAAACCTTGGTATTGTACCTCATGGGCATGCCTTGGGTCATGTGCCCGTCCCTGAACCAGTTCATCAGGGTCAGAGGAATCAAATGGATTGATGGGTCCAGCCTGCTCTGTGTTTGCTCCTGGAAGGGAGGGATGTGAGTCAGTCTCAGCTCCTGAACACACATACTGAGATTGGAGAGTATTCCCCAGGGGAAATCGGGATGCTTTACCGCAACAGGGACTGGACACTGGGCAGGCACAAACGTCAGATGGCCGCTACGTTTCCAAGCACCTCATTCCCGACTCTGGGTTGTGGTGGTAAAACATCTATGCCTAGAGTCTTTAGGCTCCTCCATGACGTCTCCTCAGTGTGTCTCAGTGAATCTCCTGACTCCTCCGTGACGTCTGTCACTCCTGCATTGCTGTCCCCCCCCCCCCCGGCAGGTACAGCAGAGAGGGACACCATCTGTGAGGAACCCTCCCCAGTGACCAGCCCTGACTGCAGCACCAGCCCCGAAGCCAGCCAGGCGCCCGCCAGGTGACTCCCTCTCCCCATCCAGCTGAACTTGGCTGTCCCGGCCCATAGGATGCCTGGAGCCCAGCTGGCTGTGGTGTGGGTGGGGTTCAGCCCACGGTGTCAGGATTCCAGGGTGCCTCTCTGTCAAGCCCACAAGCCATTTGAGGCCCCACCGTGTGCTCAGTCTTCCCTAAGCACGTGAGAGAAGAGCCTAGAAATCACAGTCCTTCCTCCCAGGAGCTGACAGTGGGGCTGCCAGAGGCTGTGGGCAGAGGGTCTGGGGGCCCCTTTCTCTGCGGAGATGGTTGCCCTTGAGAACAGACCTCCGTTTGCCCCCTCAGGAGAATTGGCAGTGCCATTTCTGGCTTCTCTCTCGGCAGCAGGCCCCCCCAGGCCAGGCCCCTGGGGACTTCCTCGGCAAGCTCCAAGGCCAGGACCACGCTTCCTGGAGGGGGTGCTTCCCTCACCGTGGAAAATGATTCCAAAATGACCAGGGCCCCCAGCTCTCCCTCTTCGGTGCGGAAGCCCAGTCCCGATCCGGGTGAGTTCTCCAGAGAAGCTGTGGGGTGGTTCCCAGGGCAACAGCGTGTCGTTGGCGGGCGACCCCTGTGGGGTGGTCCAGGCCGGGGGGCGGTGGTGGGGGGACCCTGAGCTGCAGTCTTTCCCGGTCCGGGGAGAAGAGGGTCTCTGGGTCTCTGGAGGCTGAAGGCGTCGAGGGCCAGAGTAGATCATGGAAGAAGTCATCTGTTTGACAGCTTGAGTGCCTCCTAAGTGCGACACGGAGGTGCTTGCCAGGGAGCAGGTGTTGATCTGATGCCCTCCTGGTTCCCACGGCAACGGACAGGGCCCTCAGTTCGCTCCTGCTTATGACTGACTAGCCTTTCATGGTGGCTCACGTTTATCCAGTAATCTTTGGATATTTGGGTTGTTTCCTCTTTTTGGCTGTAATGAAAAACAAGTCTTTGTGTGAATGTATGTTTTCATTTCTCTGGGGTTTGTTTGTCTTTTTAGTTGACTTCTTAATAGGACTTCTTACAATTCTGGGTTTGAGCCCTTCATCCCACGTGGTGTGCAGAAGACCTCCTCCCACGCGGTGGCTTGCCTTCTCATTCTCTTTATGGTGTCTTTGCTAAAGAGATGTTGTTTTTTAATTTTATTTTAAAAAAGATTTATTTATTAGAGTGCATGTGTGCACATGTGTGAGCAAGGGGAGAGTGAGAGAATCCTCAAGCAGACTCCCCATGGAGTGCAGAGCCTGATGTGGGGCTTCATCCCAGGACCCTGAGATCATGATCTGAGCTGAAATCAGGAGTCCAACACTCAGCTGACTGAGCCACCCAGGCGTCCGTAGAGAGATGTTTCTAAATTTTAATGTAGTCATGGGTGCCTGGGTGGCTCAGTCAGTTAAGCATCTGCCTTCAGGTCAGGTCATGATCCTGGGGTCCTGGGATCGAGTCCCTCATCGGGCTCCTTGCTCAGCGGGGAGCCTGCTTCTCCCTCTGCCTGCTGCTCCCCCTGTTGTGCTCTGTCTCTCTCTCTGAAAAAGGAATAAATAAAATCTAAAAAAAAAAAAAGATTGCAGTTTAGAAATAGCCAGATACATTTCTTCTCTTTCTGGGCTTCAGGACTCCCTCTGAAAGATTGATCTGACACGCGTGGAGTTTGGGAGCTGGCCATGGAGCTGGAGGTGGCGACTGGGTGCGGAGGTGGGGGCCTCTGCCAAGGTGGCCCGGCCTGGAGCTTCTCTGCTTCCTTCTCCAGGGCTGACCTCGCAGCAGCCGTGCGCACAGGGGTCATCGGACTGTGGGAAGCAGTGTGACCCCGACTACTACCTGGACAAGGACGGCCGCTGCAAGGCCTGTGTGACCTGTTCTGGAGGTAAGGGCCTCATCGTCCCCTTCAGGGGCTCCTTCCTGGGAGCAGGGGGTCTTAGCCGAGAATCTGGGGCTGGGGGACCCTGAGTTCATTCTGGGACTGCTCAGCCTTCGGGAGCCTAGCTCACCTCGCTGGTGTCTCTGAGCAGTTGGCCTTTACTGAGTCCCATTCTTATTGTGGGGTGTTGATGGGGGTGACCCCTTCTCAGAGAGCTTCCATTTGCTCACACTTGCAAGGAAACATTCGTTATTATCTACCTGTTCCAAGCTCGTCTCGTTCTTTTTGGTAGCTGTCTTCTGGTGTGTGGATTATGATTGTCCCCATTGTACAGAGAACACTGAGGCCTTACAAAGGCCACAGGCCCTCCAGAGCAGCAGGGCCAGAGTTTGGACTTGGAGGTTCTGGGCGCTGGTCAGTCACTGCACTGTCCCTAGAGCATGCTCAGAATGGGCACTCACTGGCTGACTGCTGTGTACCTGACCCGCTCAGCACAGCCTCCCAGCACCACCAGCTGCCCCCTGGTGTCCATGAGAGCCGCGCAGGGCAGGGGAAGCTGCCCAGGCCCCGGACTGCTGTGGCTGGGTGCAGCCCCAGCCCCCTCACAGAGGGGCGGGGCGTGTGCGATTATGTCTCCTTGTCCAAGGTTTCTTTCACACCCTGGCTGAAGTCAAGGGAGGCCAAGAGAGGAAAGAACACCGTTCCAGTTACTAAGGCCACATAGCAAGTTTTCTCAAAATGTGGTGGCAAAAAACAAAGCACTCATTGTACTCATGAATTCCGTGGGTCAGAATTCAGACAGGACACTGAGGGGATGGCTGGTCTCTGCTCCACGATGTCTGCGGTTTCAGCTGGAAAATGTGAAGGCTGGAGGCGGGAATCATCTGAAAGCATTTTCATTCATGGGTCTGGGGTTGGTGCCAACTGCTGGCTGGGGCCTCAGTTGCCCTCCACGTTGGCCTCTGGGTGGCTAACTTGGGGGCTTCCTCAAGGCCTGGTGGCCGGATTCCAAGGATGGGGCGGGGGGGGGGGGGGACAAGTCCTATCCCTTCTGCTGACCTTTCCTTGGATGTCACATGGCGTAACTTCCGCCAGTTTCTACCTCTTGAGGCAATCACAGATCCCAATAGAGTCAACGGTAGGAGAAGAAAGTGAACTTCTCGACGGGTAAGTGGCAGAGGCCTGGAAGAGCAGACGGGGCCAGAAATACTGCTCTGGCCATTTTTGGAAAAAATATAATCTGTCATAGCCACCATGACAGAGAGAGAAACAAGAGGTGGCTCTGCGTCTGAGAATTCCTTCAGCTCTAAGGATGAAAGCCCTGCGAAGCAGTGGGGTGGAAAACAGGGGCCAAGAGCACAGACTCTGGAACCCAAGAGCCTGGGTTCGAACCTTGGCTCTACCAGTTTGCAGCTGATAAACACAAGCAAGTTTCTTAACGTCTCTGTGCCTCAGTTTCCTCATCTGCAATGGGCATAATAATAGTACTCAGAGAGCTGTTGCAGGAATTAAATAGGTTAAACTAGGTCAATCTGGGCAGAATGCTGAGAATAGGACCCCCATGCACTCGATGGTATTACTGCTGCCTTGCTTGCACTCAATGATATTTTTTAAAAAAGATTTTATTTATTTATTTTGAGAGAGAGAGAGAGTGTGCACGTGGGGGTGAGGGGGGGGAGAAGGAGAGGGAGGGAATTTCAAGCAGACTCCTCACTGAGTGCAGATTCCCCACACGGGGCTCGATCTCACAACCCTGAGATCATGACCAAGAGTCGGATGCTTAACTGACTGAGCCACCCAGGCCCCCCCCCCCAATGATATTAATACTGCCTAGCACACAATCAATGATATTAAAAGCTATTATCGTGATAATAGCTGTCACTGTCCCAAGTCATCTCTCTCACTGCTGAGCTCACTCTTGCCATCCACACAAATTCTCCAAATCCTCCCCAATGCCCACTCTGTCTAGAGGTTTCAGGAAGAGACTGTGAGGTTCTTTATCATTTGAGGTCTCTTAAGTATCCTGTTGATTGAGAAAAGTCCTCATGAGCAAGTCACATTAATCTACTAAGGCGGTCATTCTATTTTCACCCATTTAGAGCACATGAAGTGTTCCCAAGCATATGTAAATGCATTATCACATGCTTTCTTTTACAAAACCTCTAACATTTTATTTTTTTATTTTTGGAAAAAAAAAACCCTTTTTATCATTGAAAATTTCTTTGTTTTTAAGATTTTATTCATTTATTTGAGAGAGAGTGCACGAGTCGGGGGGGATGAGCAGAGGGAGAAGCAGACTCGCTGCTGTGCATGGAGCCTGACCCGGGGCTCCATCCCAGGATCCCAAGATCATGACCTGAGCTGAAGGCAGACACTTAACCCACTGAGCCACCCAGGCGCTCCATCATTGAAAATTTCAAACATATTCAGAAGTAGTGTCAGGAATGGTTATGGACTTCACCCAGTTTTAAAGAATGATCAAGTCACGGCCAGTGTGGGTTCATCTATACCCATGCCTGCTTACCCTGTTCTCTAGATTATTTTCTTTTTAACAGCTTTATTGCGATAGGATTGGCATGCAGTGCAATACAGGTGTTCAAAATGTGCCATTTGATACATTTTGACATAGTGTGAGGCTGTGAAACCGTCCCCGCAATCAAGGAAAATGATTTCCCCAGAAAGTTTCCTCGTGTTCCTTATCCTCCCTCCCACCATTGCTCACCTTGCTTGCATTCCCAGGCCATCATTCTGCTTTCTGTCACTGCGGAAGATTTTGCATTTTCTAGCATTTTCTGTGAACATAATCATATAGTACATGTTCTTTTTTTTTTTTTTCCCTACCTTCCTCCACTCAGCCTGTTCTGAGTGTGCCAAAAGATCTGCTCAACAGAATAGTCACATGAGTGTTTGCTTCCAGGCAGATGCTTCTCTGCTCTCCTGGGGGGTCTCTGGACCCCCTGCCCTTGCCATCCCAGATCCTTCCTCATGACCCTTCTCTGTGTCCCTTTGAAGACCTGATGGAGAAGGCGCCGTGCACGTGGAACTCCTCTCGAGTCTGCGAATGTCGATCTGGCATGTCCTGTGCCACATCAGCCACCAACTCCTGTGCCCGCTGTATCCCCCACTCCGTCTGCCCACCAGGGATGGTCACCAAACCCCAGGGTAAGCTGTCTGCACCCCCAACCAAGGGGCTGAAATCTGTGCCTCTGCAGCTGAACTTCTCTCCACCCCCAACTGGGCAAATGACCTTCAACCTTAGTTGTTAACTAGGTCAGGTTTGGGCTTTGGTTTTGTTTAGATAGTTAGATCTGGTAAGTGGAATAAAATCTAGATCTGGGGGTGCCTGGCTGGCTCAGTTGGAAGAGCATGTGACTCTTGATTGTGAGTTCGAGCCCCACATTGAGATTACAAAAAAAAAAAACAACAAACCTTGAAAAAAATCTAGATTTGGCATTTTGGTAAGACTTTTTTTTTAAAGATTTTATTTATTTGACAGAGAGAGAGGGAGAGAGAGAGTACAAGCAGGTGGAGTGGCAGGCAGAAGGAGAGGGAGAAGGAGGCTCCCCGCTGAGTAGAGAGCTGGATGCGGGGCTCAATCCCAGGACCCTGGGATCATGACCTGAGCCACCCAGGCGCCCCTTGGTAAGAGATTCTGATGATTTTTAAAAAATTCTTCCTTCTGAAATTGTTGGGCTGGTAAAATCTTCACTTATTTGAAAGGCTGTTTCATTGAGTCAAGATAGAGCAATATGAGATTTTTGAAGACGGTTCCAACTCAAGATGGTAGACACTTGGGGCACCTGGCTGACTCAGTCAGTAGAGTGTGCAACTCGTGATCTTAGGGTGGTGAATTTGAACCCCATGTTGGGCATAGAGTTTACTTAAATAAAAAAACAACAAGCGAAAACAAAGAAAAAAAAAGATGGTAGACGTTTGCCAGAGTGCAGAAAAATATAAACTCTTGACGGTGGGGGGAAAAAAGGTTAATCAAGAGACAAGAGATTTCAACAAATTTCTAGAAGGTAGAAAACAGATGGGAGGGTGGTGACAAATGAAACAAGGGGGAGGAAAGCTCGCCCCAGAATTCACTCCATGAGTGCTGCAGGAAAAGTGAGAGGTACTTTGCTTGTAAGATCCCCACGGAGGCTCTTGGCTCAGAGCAGGCAAGTAAAAGGAAAGATGGGAGTGAAGTGGAGATGGATGGAACAGTGCAGTGGGGTGCGACTTCCTCTTGAAAATAAAAATTAGAAACTTGAGACAGTGGTACACCATGGACATGAGCAGTTGGAACAGATGGAGCTTGAGTTTTCATCCTCTGGTGACGATCATCAACTTTTTGGCTGAAGACACTGAAGGAGCATTTGGGGAAACAGGGCTGTTGGTGTGGTATTACCCCCCTGTGTAAAGCCCTCTTCGGCTGTGTGTTTCTGAGTGTAGCCTATTGATAGGCTACCCCTGCTAACTCACCCTGAAGTGAAGACTGCCGGCCCCACTCCCCACCGTGGGCCCAGAGTTCCCAGACGGCCCTCCTCCTCAGGGAAGAGACCTGCTGTGGAAAGGCCATGCTAGCTCCACAGCAGAAGAACCCCCCCACCCCGTCCCCTCCAGCTACTGGAATATTCAGCAGAGTCCTTTTAAATAATGAGTGAGCAGTAAAGCTATTCAGACTGTTAAGGAAAACCAGCTGCATGATGGAGAATAACAAGATACATTAACAGAAAACTAACTGTGGGTGAAGCAATAGAAATAGCTTCAGGAAGAGGAATAGACGTTTAAAATTTTAAATTAGCATCCACAGAAGAATTCAAGAAGTTGTCACATCCATAAAGAGAGAACAGAATGCCGTGAAAAAGAAACAGTAAGAGAGAAGAGGACCAAAAAAGGCTTTTGGAAAGTGTGCTTGTTACCAAGTATTGCCTCTCAACTCTCAATTCACCTTCAGTACCTGCTGTGCAGTGAAGTATGGGACTCTTCACGCATTTCTCCTAGTGAACATGATAAGCTGTGCCAGAGGGCACTGGGGAGCCATTGTAGGAAGAAGGAGGCTTCTCTTGGCTGCATCTGCTTCTTGTTCTTGGTGTGTCCTCTGTCAGCAGAGCACATGGGTGGGGACATCTGGTCGTGCCCTGCCCCAGTCATGCTCCCAGAGTAGACAGTCCCTGGGCAGCCTCACAGCCCCAGCCTGGTCTGGTGACCACTGGTGTGACCCTCCCAACGGGACTCTGGTGTACTCCAGGCCTCATGTCAGCAGAAGTGCCGTAATTCCCTCTGTGCACGCCCACCCCAAGCCTTGGGTCTTCTGTATTCCCATCGCTTACGGCCCTCTTGACCCGGTCCCTGAGTGCTCTGGGCCTTGTACCCACAGTGATGCCCCAACTCTCCTTGCATACTTGACCTGAAAAATGCGAGACTTCAGATGGACCTACCAAGAGCAAGCAGGATGAATAAGATTACTCCTACCTAGACACAATAGATGTATTTATTTACCCATTCACTAGTTGACAGACATTTGGGTTGTTTCCAGTTTAGAGCAGTTATGAATAAAGCAGTTACAAACATTCTTGTACAACTCTGTGTAAACATATATTTTCGTCTCTCACGAGTAAATACCTAGGAGATGGATGGCTAGATCACTGTGCTCACCACACAGAATGTCTTTGAGGGCCAATTCAAAGCCTGTCGCCACCCGTGATCTGGTCTTACCCACCTAGTTTTATGGATGGAGAGGACCAGAGCTAGAACTGGAACACAAGGATCCTGAGTTCCAGCCTGGAGTACTCTCTACCAACCACATCAGCTCCTTCTTAGTTCTGAACCTAGAATTTTCTATTCGGTTAAGATACAATTAAGTTTGAAAGCAGAAAAAAAAAACAAAACCATTTTCAGACATAAAAGGGCAGAAAGATTTTCCCTCATGTGTCCTCTCTTAGAAAGTTACTTGAAGATGTTATTTGGCTAAATGAGGGGCTCAAAACAAAACAAAACAAAAGCCATGACTCTAGAAAACAGTGATTCTATCCCAGGAGAGCAGGGAAGTCCCAGTATGACAGCTGTATTGCAGACCAGTTGAGCCAGATAAGAACAGAAAAATGAAGGAGGGCTCCAGTGAATTGTCTTGTCTGCAGGAATGAAAGGAAGAATTTCAGTAAACTTCATGAGTAGTATGTTTGAAAAACTTGATCATATGGTAAAGGCACATTATTCTTTTCTCAACAAGAAAATGAAAGGCAGTTCAGAATTCTAGGGAAAATAAAAAGCTGACAAGAAATTTACACTCCAGATACGAAGATGAAATGTCATCTGATTTTAAGTACTTGTTGGATGCATTAAAAGAGAATCCATTTGACCTTGATGCTAAGATCATTCTCCTTCAAATGGCCCGAGGATCAGGTGTTTGGATTTAAAGAGAAATATTTCAGTCCGGTAAATAATATCCTTTTTAGTTCTAAATTGGGAGTAAGAATGGGTAGTTTCTTTTTTTTTTTTTTTCCTCTTTCAGTGGGCCCTTACCAGAGAACACAGGCAGACTAAGTAGGGGCTAAACAATACCTTCTGCTCACCTCCAGATTTAAAGAAGGAAAAGGGGAGGGTCACTACACCAGGGAGGAAGGAGGAAGGCTACAGGTAAGGTATGATACACATGGAGAGGTTGAGAGGCACCCAAGGAGCACTGGGTCCATCTTCTCCACTTAGAGAAGGACAGCAGTACTTTTTTTTTTTTTTTTTAAGGTTTTATTTATTTGAGAAAGAGAGATACTGAAAGAAAGCATGAGTGGGGATTGGGGGAGGGACAGAGAGAGAGGGACAAGCAGACTCCCCACTAAGCAGGGTGCCCGACGTGGGGCTCAATCCAGGACCCCAGGATCTTGAGCTGAGCCGAAGGCAGAGGCTTAACCAACTGAGCCACCCAGGCGCCCCAGGACAGCAGTTCTGTTGCTGGATTCCAGCAGGTGTTTCAGTGGGAGCTCAGACTGAGGCTGCCTTAGAGAGAGGCCAGAGGGCTTTCCCCTCATGGTGCTACGTGGGGGTAGCCACGGTGATATATTTCAACACAGGAACTCCTCCAGTCCTCTCAAAGTCAACTCTTGTTGAAACCAATGACATTTTAAACTTAATCAAATACTGATTTGCAAATAAATAGAAATTATCATAGCAAATTGTATCATCTTCCTCATAGCTTAAAGCCTGCAGGCTTCAACTAATTCAGGTAATAGTCTGGTGACCCTGAGGAAAGACATAGCATCTATTTGGAGACCGCCCCCCCCCCAAAGGGGAGAGTTCCTCAGGATACTACTAATCCAAGAAGAAAATTAATCCTTGCTTCACTTTCTCTTCAAAGTGTTTCAGGAAGAATCTGAGAAGCACCATGAAAGCTTTTCAGAAGGGAAAGGAGTGTGGGTGGGGGATCTGCTTTGCACCACATCAGAGGAGGGGTGCCGCCACCAGGGACATGGGGGTAGAGAGGGATCGTGGCTGGGCATGACCTACTTCAAATGTGGGCCAGTTTTCTTAACCCTAGAAAAGCAGTTAATTGTAAACTTGTAAGACTGTGCTCAGTCCCCAGGCAGGAGGTGGCGTGGTCCAATGGAGTGTGCTGTGGGCTGGAACCCCGGAGTCCTGCCTTCTGGCTCTAGGTCTGGCGCTGTGGTTCTCTCCCATCTGTAAAAAGAGTGGCTGGGTCAGATCAGAGGAGACCATCTTTGAATGGGTCCTCAGAGGCATACTGTCTGGTCAGCACAGGCTTCCCCCTCCGAAGTGTCAAGAGGAATGAAATTATATGTCCTCACAAAGACTTGTACAAGCACATTCAGAGCTGCCTTATTTATAATAGCTTCAAACTGGAAACAACCCTGATGTCCATCAGCTGGTGAATGGATAAATAAATGGTGGTACATCTCTACAATGGAAGACTACTCCGTGCAACATAAGTGAATTTCAGAAATACTATGCTGAGAGAAAGAAGCCAGACCCCAGAAAGTACTTACTGCCTGAATCTGTCTAATGAAATTCTAGAACAGGCCCACTAATCTATAGTGACATAAAGTAGACCAGTGGTTGCCTGAATGTGGGAGGAGGATTTACGGCAGAAGGTTACGAGGGAACTTTCTGGGATGGTGGGAATGTTCTAGATCTTGAATGAAGGCACAGTTACATGGAAGGATACATTCTTCAAAACCCATCAAACAGTATAACTGAGGGGACATTTTCTTCTATATAAATTATGCCTTAATAAAGTTGATTTCAAAAGAAAGGAACTTTCAAAAAATTGAGGCTGTGTTTAAATATCAGAAGATAGTATTTACATTTATTTATTTATATGTATTTATTAGGTTTCTCTTTTACATAAAATCAGAAAGGCTAGAGCCACCAAGCCACCTTCCTGTGAGATCACAGTTGGCTGGAGATGAGGATCAGCTTTTCCACTTTGATCTTTCGAGACACAGGCCTGACCGTCTCAGCCAGCTCTAGCTGCAGGCATAACACGTGGAAAACAACGCTGACATGTCAGGGTTCAGCTCTCCTCCCCTGGTCAGCTGGGCCTTTGCTGTCTTGTCTGGGCTCACAGGTTTGGTTTGGGTTTGCTTCGAGTGTTTCTCATACTTCTGGGACCAGCAGGGACCACCACCTGGCAGAGCATCCTCTCCTTACAGCCGTGGTGGAAGTGCAGAAAGGCCCAGGCTGGGAACAGGCACACTGTTCCTTCCATCCTGCTCCACTGAACATCCAAGTCACAGGGCCTTGGTGAGGCGGGGATACAGACACCTCCCCGCCTGAGGAGGGGGGCCGGGGGTGTAACCTACCGCACCGATCCCATTCCCTTGCTAATTAAATCCTGGCTTTGGGGAGCAAGACCTAATTTTTAAGAACAGCTTTGTTGCAGTATGCTTGACATACCCCAGAACCTACTAGCTTTAAGTGTGTAATTCAATGATTGTAAAGACATTTACAAAGTTGTAAAACCATCACCATGATCTGAGAAACCTCATGCCTTTAGTAGTCAACCCCCGTATCCGTCCCCAGCTCGTACAAGCACTGATCCTACTCTCTGTCCCTCTAGATGGACCTTTTCTGGACATTTCCAGAATATGGGCTCTGTGTCGGGTTTCTCTCACTGCACATGATACGTTTGAAGTTCATGCGTGCTGTAGCGTGTATAAGTGCATTGTTCCCTTTTATTGCCACACAATATTCAGGTACAGGTATACTATGTTTTATTTATCCATTTACCAGTTGATGGACATTTGGGTTGTTTCCACATTTTTGGCTACTATGAAGAATGCCGCTATGAACAATTGTGTACAACGGACCATCGTGCACACGTTTTAACATGGCTGCTCACCAGCCTCTCCCATGTGCTCGCGCTCCTCCCTCCCCCACCTAGGGGCCACCCTGCCTTCGATTTCCTCTGCTTAGATAGCTCCCCCTCAAGACACCGCAGCAATGGCCCCTGACAGGGATCTTGTCTCTTTTGCTCACTGCTATATCCCAGCTCCCAGGACAGTCCCTGATGCATAGTAGGTGCTCAATAAAGAGTTGTTGCATGGAGGGAAGGAAAGAGGGAGAGAAGGAAAGAGGGTCAGGACACTAGCCTGAGTCTACCTGGCTGCCATGTCCTTCTGGCCTCACCATGCCGCCTCCCCTGGAAGTTACCAGTCCTGCTGGGTATGGCTCCTTGACACCAACTCTAAGACCACTCCCTGCAGGTGCAGCTGAGAGGGATGCCACAGATGAGCTCCCTCCCTCCGAGGCCCGCCCTGAGTGCAGCACCAACCCAGAGGACAGCAAGACGCCCACCAGGTGACTCCCTGGCCCCTTTTGGGGGCAGCTGGGCTGGGGCTGGAGGTGGGGCCTGGGCTGGATCTCTGTGCCAAGGTCGCAAGTCATTTTGGAGGATGTGTGCCCGGCTCTGGGCTGGAACCACTGGGAATGGTTCCTGAGCACATGCTTCCCTTTCTCCATCTCCACCGTCAGTCTTACTTCTGGCTTCTCTCCTGGTAGTGCCCCTGCCCCTCTGGTCTCCTCGGCAGACCCCCAGATCAGTCAGGAGCATGGAGGGGGCATCACTCACGCCTGGGGAGACACCCCCATATCAACGAGCACACCCATCTCTTTCTCCTCCACGGCAAAGCCCATTCTGGTTTCAGGTAACTATTAGAGAGGAGCGTCTGCCTCCCAGAGGGCAGGGAGGAGGGAGGCTACTCCCTGGGCAGCAGCATCCACTGGGTGGGGGAGACCAGAGCTGACCCCAGGTTTCTGGCTTCTTGAGCTGGGGATGTGCCTCTGTCACTTGCTAGTGATTGTTCCTCGATTCTGGGCAGGGATTTTATTCACAGCTTCATCCCCGTGGCCCATAATTGCTACTCAGAAAATACTTGGAGAACGAAGACATGACCTTGACTAGTTGCTTAATTCCTTTGAGCCTCAGTTTTGTCGCACGGACCACGCAGGGCAGTAAGCGGTGGGGTATACGTAGCTAGCTCCTTACGGGGCTCCTTGGAGGCATTCTAAGGTAGGCTTCGGTTTGGGGCTTGCAGTTCTAGTGTCAGACACGAGGTGGCGGCAGTCCTCCAGCCAGCCGACCTCAAAGCGCAGCCCTGGACTGGCAGCATCAGCAACTTGTTAGAAGAGCAAATTCAGGGCTGCACCCCAGCCCCGCTGAACCACGGTCTGTATTGGAACATGGTCCCGGGAGATCTGCATGCATGTTAAAGTTTGAGAAGCACATACATGGCACCTACTACTTTTTAACACCTGAACGTGGACTTAACAGTGATTGGATACACCATCTTCATAAGGGACAAAGGAAAAAAAGGAACAAGTTAAGTCCTGAGTTAAGTTGTAAAAGAGTATACCCACATAGTGGTGAAGTGTGTGGGCGCTGGGGCCGCCCGGCCTGGCCTGGCCCAAGCCGTGATTCTTGCGGTTTACCCTTTGCCATTTTAGTGAGTTACTTAATCTTCGCCAGCCTCAGTTTCCCTCGTTTGTAAAAGGAGATGGTAATGGTGCCTACATGATATTCAGGGAACAGGTGCTGAGTGGGTGTATGTGCAGAGAAGACCCCGTGCCTGCCCATCTGGAGGGGAGCTGGGAATCCTATCAGACTCCCCACTTCACCCTCCTCGCTGCTCCACCCCCCGCGGCCCCCCCCCCCCCCCCCCCCGACTCCAGCCACACTGAATGTGCTGCCGGCTGCCCCGGGGGCCGCACTTGGCATAGGCCCTCCCCCACGGCCCCCAGACCATGTTCTTTTGGACCTCAGTTCCTTCCTCTGACTCCTCGACTCCTCAATTTCTCACAATCTAGAAATGGTTTGTTTCTGTGAACCGTTTAGCTGCCCTGATGGGCCCCCTCGAGCCAGGGGAGGGAGGGCAGGTGGATAAGGGCTGCACCAGGGAGGCAGAGGGTCTGGGTCTCAGTTCCTGCTTGGGGAAGGACCGGGTCCTGCCAGCCCCAATGGTGTCTGTGTCCCAGGAGAAGGAGATCATAGTCCGGGGTGAGGACCATGTGGGGAGGTTGCAGCGGGGGCCCCTGGCGCACTGCTGTGGTGTAGACTTCAGAGCCCCCGAGCATCAGGGCAGAGGGTGCAGGGCTGCCTCTGTGTTCCAGGGCCGATGCTCTTCTGGACGGTCCTGCTGCTGGTGGTGGTCCTGGGCTCCGTGTCCTTCCTCCTGTGCCACCGGAGGGCCTGCAGGAAGTGGATTCAGCAGAGTGAGTGGATGTGTCCCTGGGGCCTGGGGGAGGGCAGGTGCCCCGCGCTGGGCTGGCCGGGTCTCTGCGCTGCCCTCGGAGGCCCTCGGAGGCTCTCCAGCTAACTCCTCTGTCGTTCCAGAGCTCCACCTCTGCTACCCTGTCCAGACCTTCCGGCCCAAGCTGGAGCCCGTGGGTAAGTGTCCACATGTCCAGAGGGGGCTACTCGGGCCCCATGGACACAGCAGCTCGAGGCCCTGGGTCTGGGGCTCCCTCTGTGCACAGGCTCATCTGTAACGGGAATGCAGTGCGGGTGGGACCCGTCCTCCATGGTCCTCTGCAGCGTTCAGATGGCAGGCTGGCAGGAAGGTTTAAGATCCATCTTGTCTCTCATTCTTTCCTCCACAGTGCCCACCCCCTGGAGAGGCATTCCTGAATGCCTTCCCTTCCTTCCTGGCCTCCCTACCCCTTCCTTCCTCCCCATTGCTCTGCGCCCCTTCTGCTGGCAGCGAGGGGCATAGGGGTCTGTAGGGCAGGCTGACAGGGCCGGAATCCTGGTTCTGCCACTTACGAGCTGTATGGCCCCAGTGAGTTTCTTTGTTCCGCTGTGCCTCAGTTTCCTCACTGTAAAAGGGGATGGTGGGGCCCACTTCAGACGGTGTGTGGTGCAGGAGGTGGTTGCTGTCGGCCGACGGGCCGGCCTGTGTTGGGGGCCTTTTTCCTCACCAGGAATCTCAGGGCCTTCTGATATCTACGCTGTTCTGAAGCGCTCCCTGGCCCTGGCTCTCTGATCCCGGCCCAGCTTCCAGGCCAACTTTTGCAGACCACTTGTCAGAGCCCCTGACCTACTTCCAGCCCTCACCTGGTTGTGTATGTGTGTGTGTGTGTGTGTGTGTGTGTGCGCGCGCCCACGCCTTTTCTCCCCTATGCAGCCATTTGCAGGCAGGGCAAGGTCTTCGTCAGCACTCCATAAGCACTGACTGAGCACCTACTGTGTGCTGGGCCCTGACCACAGGGGAAGGAGTGAACGCGAATTTCTGAGCTTCCCTTTCTGGTTTCAAGGCAGGCTCCCATAGAGGGTCTCACCGACCTGGGAACCCCAAGGGAGGTGGGTGATGATCTGTCTCCATTCCATAAGGAGTCAAGGCTCTGAAAGGTGGATAGCTGGCCAGGGCCACACAACCGATGAGACTCAAGTCTCAGGCGCTGGTCCTTGAGGTTGCGGGCTTTGTTTGTGGAGGGCTCAGACCTGTCCCCTCCGCCTCCCTCCCCTCAAGCTTTGTCCACCTCCAGTGTCTACCCACGAGCCCAGGGGGCAGTCTTGGGCCAGGTCACAGCCCTCTTGCCCCCACCCCCCTGCCGTCTCCCCAGGACCCTCGGAGACCGTCACTGCAGCCTGCCTTTGGACTTGGGCACAAAACCTGTCCACTGAGGCCTGTTTTGAATTTGATGAGTTTCACAGCAGGTGCTTGTGCGCTCTTAGCAAGGGGGGTTTTTGTGTTTTGATAGTTTCAAGCCTGTTTCCATGAGCTGTCAGCCTTAATGTCTCATTGAAACCCATGTTTGCTTTCTTGACATTTTTCTAGTATTAGAATTTCCATTGCTGTCAGTTTATTTTTTTCTTCAAACCTTCGTGATGGCAGTTTTGCCACAGAGAAAAAGAGAGAGAGAGAGAAAAAGAAAAAAAAAGCACCTTCCCTTAAAAAGGCAGACCTATGAGAAACCAAGCCCTGAGACTCAGTGGCGGCCATCCTGTTTGGGGCTGTTTCTGGCCCTCTGGCTTCCGGCGGGTCCCTGGAGGGTCTGGGTTTCCAGGCCCGAGCTGGAGGGAAGGTGAGGCCAGGATAAGCATCCAGGGGCTCAGGATGAGAACGGATGGAGCGAGGTGGATGCCCTATTCCCTCCGGAGCAGTGGGTGCTGAAGGGGCAAAGGAGCTTTCATTCACGTGCTTGCTCGTTCAAGTGTTCAGATCATCGTCCAAGTGGCTCTCTGCTGGGTGCAGAAACGGGTCCTCGCTCTCCCGAGCGTTCAGACCAGCATCAGTTGCTTCAAGGGACTAACGGCTGGCAGGGCGGGGATGCATGCCCCAGCCCTCCCTGTCCCAGAGCAACAACGCTTACCAGCCATCTCTTGAGTCGATTCGCCTTTATGGCCCGTGTCCTTGGTGGCAAGCTTTTGCAGAGGGCAGACGCACAGTGGACCGGGGAGGCACCTGCTGCTTTCATCCCCATTTCACAGATGAGGAATCAGGAAGGTGGAGGAACTTGTTTAAGGCCACTTGGTTAATAACAACCTGGGGGTGGGAATCGTGCCTGGTTAAGAAACACTGACTAAAATTCTTCATTCTAATGGGCACTAAAGTCCTTATCTGTTACTTCAGGCAGGTTTAAGTCGAAAAAAAATTTTTTGTTGTTGTTTTGAAACAATTTCAAGCTTACAGGAGAGTCACAAGGACAGTACAAAGAACTTATTTTTCTGAACTTTTTGAGATGAGTTAGTGACTCAATGCCTTATCATCTCCACATACTTTAGTGTGTGGTCATACAAACAGGGGTGTATTTTTATACGATGTATAAAAATACGTGTCACTACACCATCAGAATCAGAATTCACACTGATGCGTTACCACTGGCGAATTCTCAGACCTCATTCAAGATCCTTTGTCCCAACCATGTCCTCTGCAGCAGAAGAATCCAGTTCAGGATTTCGTGTTGCATCTGGTTGTCACGTCTCTTGTCAGCCTGGCTCTGTTCCTGTCTTTTCTGCCACGTTTGTGCTCTTGCCACTTTTGAGCATTCCACCACCGATTTGGTGGGCATCCCTCCCCTTGGGTTTGCCTGGTGCGTCCTCATGGAGACCGGAGTCAGGTCGTGCTTCTTTGGTGGCGGGAAGATGCCAGGAGTGACGCTGAGCTTCTCTGGTGGCAGCCGTCCCGCCAGGTTCCAGCCGGTCAGTCCCTTTCCCAAGTCCCTCACTTGGCGTGAGCGCTCCCTGCCAGGCCGCTCCTGCACGAGGCTGTTCTTTTCTCCTTGGCAAGCAGTAAGCACTTTCGGGGGAGGTACTGCGAAGCTCTGTGAATAACCAGTTCCTCATCACACTTTCTTCTTCCTCTCTATTTATATCTGCATGGACTGGTGGCTTTCTATTTGGTTCTCTTGCCCTCGTTATTCTGATGTTCAGATTCAGTCCTTGAAGCTAGCCCCGGTGTCCTTCTGTCCCGTCCTTCCCTGTTCTGAGCACTTCTTTAAGATGATCCCAACTTACCCGGTACTTCCCTGCCCTCACCCTGGAATCAGCGGCATCTCCCAGGAGCCGAGATCGGAATTAGGGGTGCCCGTTGCCAAAGCCTGGCTGAGCCTCTGTGCCAGACTCCTTCCTCAGGTCTGTTCCGCTTCCCATGGCAGCCAGGCCCCCAGGCCAGATGGGGGCCGGGACTGAAAGGGGAGAGTGACTGGGAAGGACAGGACCGCAGCATCGGTGTCAGAACTCACGGGCTCGGCTGGAGTGGCCCTCACGGCAGCCCCTGGGAGAACATGTACTTGTCCCGGGGGGGCCACCGATGCCTCGGGTGTCCCTGGACTCATGTCCTTGGGTGCCGGACACGTTTACGAGAAGATCTCGCAGTTACTTCCCAAAGCGAGGAAACCAATAAATGAAGACAGTGGACTGAAGCCACATTTTTAGGGGAAGTGCACTTAGGAAACCTGATCTCTGTACTCAGCGCGATTTGTCCTGGGTCGTTAGCAAAGTACACATGTGGGTTGTGAGGCAGCTGCAGGCAGACCTTGGTGCCTCTGGATTCTGCCTTTTCGCCTTTATGTTGTTTTATGCTCGTTGCCAGGAGTCGGTATCAAATGCTGGTCTTCTCTTTGGTGCGGTGAGCGCGGCGCCACGTTAATGTCCTGGGACCCCCCGCATGCTAGGCAGCCTCCTGGGCACTGTCCCTTTTTCACATTTAAATTTTAAAAAAATTTTCGACAGACTTCAATTTTTAGAACCATTTTAGACTTGTAGAATATTTGAAAAGATAGTTCAGAGAGTTCCCGTGTACCTCACACCCAGTTTCCTCCATCGTTAACAGCTTACGTTGGTGAATTTGTCGTGATGAATGAGGCAATATTGACACATCACCATTAACTAAAGCCCATACTCTGTTTAGATTTACTTAGGTGTTTGGTTTTTTTTTTTAATAAGAGACTCTTTTTTTAAAAATTTATTTATTAGAGAGAGAGTGAAAGAAAGCTCCAGTGGGGGTTGGGGGAGGGGCAGAGAGAGAGGGACAAGCAGATTCCCCACTGAGCAGGGAGCCCAACGGGGGGCTCGATCCAAGGACCCTGGGATCGTGACCTGAGCCGAAGGCAGATGCTTAACCGACTGAGCCACCCAGGCGCCCCTGGGTTTACTTAGTTTTAGCCAATGTATTTTCTTACTGTTCCAGGCTTCCACCCAGGATGCCATGTTACATTGAATTGTCATGTCTGCTTGGGCTCCTCTGGACTTTTCTGACTTTCCTGTTTTTGATGACCTTGGCAGTGCCGGCCAGTTATGTGCAGGATGCCCCTCTATTGGAATTTGGCTAATATTTTCCTCCTAGTGAAAGTGGGGTTGCAGGTTTGGGGGAGGAAGACCACATGGGTGCAGGCTTGTTCTCATCACATCATATCAAGGCACGTGCTCTCAGCGTGACTGATCACTGGGTACCTTCACGTTTCGGGTCTCATTTAGTCTTCATAAAAACCCTCCAAATTTGGCATGCTGTGTCCCATTTTCCAGATATGAGGACTAAGGCTGGGAAGGTGGAGTGATGTTGTGTTGGGGGTTCCCTGCCAGGAAGCCCTCTGCTTCAAGACTGCTAAGCCGCCTCATTGTTTGGCATCTGGCTTGTTTTCAGTTTTTTGGTTATTGCACACAGCCTTGTTGTATTCTCTTGGGTTATTTCCTGAGGGTGTGTCCGTAAAGAGGGATTACTGGGTCAAAGGGTGTGAGGTTTTCACTGCCAGATGGCTCTTGAGAAACATGGAACCAGTTCACAGGGCATGAGCCGCTGTGTTCCTTTTTACCCACATCCTCTCCAAGACTGAGTTTTATCACTTTTATTTTATTTTATTTTATCTTGTTACTTTGTCGCATTCTTGCCCCCCCGCCACCCAAACCACAGCTGGCTGTTTGCAAAAGTCAACATTACTCTCAAAGGACAAAAATTAGGCTTCACTGACATCATTTAAAAGAATGTGCCTCAGGTCAGAGAGCATTTCCCCAAGCGGTAGCTTGGGTAACAGACAGTGGCCACCCAGCGGGAATGAGCTGTGGCCTTCCAAGGTGACCACTCTGCTGGGAAGAGCAGTTACCAGACGAAGGAAACTTTAACATTTGTTAAATCAAGACTCCAGATGGGGCGCCTGGGGGGCTCTGTTGGCCAAGCATCCGACTCTTGATTTCAGCTCAGGTCATGATCTCAGGGTGTGAGATCGAGCCCCATGTCAGGCTCTGTGCTGGGCGTGGAGCCTGCTTGAGACTCTCTCTCCCCCTCATCCCCAGCCCCAGCCTCTGTGCTCACTCACTCTCTCTCTCTCTCTCTCTCTAAAAAAATAAAAATAAAAAAAGAAGAGGAAAGAATCCAGAATTGTGTCATTTTATACGTGTTCTTTTTTTGACCGTCAATCTGGTTCATTTCCTCTTTAGACACTTTTTGCACGCTGATAGTCACTTAGGAGGCACGTGTAAGTGTTTCCCCGAATTGACCTAGTGTCTACACAGCACGTTCCAACCACCTGTCTTGTTTGTAGTATCACAGTTGGTTGGCCTCCAGTGAGTGTTTCAGCTAGGATTCAGGGCTGGTGGTTCCCAGAGCTGCTGATGTCAGAATGTTCTGGAGATGACTTAGCTCGCTGGCATTTTCAGAGCAGATTTCTCTGGTCAGGTACGCACACCTAACAGCAGCATATTCCAAGTCTCTGAGAGGGCCTCCTCAGGACTCCTCAAGGGCTGTGTGTCCCCAGACGACGGTCGATGCTGGGAGTTGATTTGCCCAGTGTAGACCAGATGCCTGGGTGCCATCTCCGGCTTTCTCAGATGGCCAGTGGGCCATGGTTAAATGTCACCATATGCTTGGCCATGACCTGGCCCTGTATTTGATATGAGAGAAGTGCTGGTGTGGAGGGTGGGGGTTTGGGATGAGAAGATAAAGTTGTGCCCTAAGAATCAGGCAGCACCTCCTGAGTCCCGCAGAGGGAGATGGCAGGTGGTAGGATGATGAGCAGCTGTCCTCCTCATGGGTGGTCACACAGGCTCTTTCAGGCGTGTCTAGTAGAAAACCGAACTCCCACCAAAGGCCTCCAGGGTTGATTGGCTCTGGGTGTGTCCAGCGCAGGGTTCAGCAGAGGTCCTCAGGATCGGTCACCTGCTCTCACCCAGCCTTGAGGTCCTCCATGTGAACTTTGCATGGTGCTCAGGGGAGTTCTGGGCTCTCTAGACCCTGGGCTACAAAGCCACAGACCAATTTCTGAGCCCGCAGAAGCCTCTGCCTGGGCGCCAGCCGGGGCGTGTGCCAGTCAGGTGTCTGGGCCCCCTCCCTGGTAACTGTAGGTTCAGGGTAATGTTTGCAAAGCCCCTGGCCCAGCACCTGCACACAGCAAGCTCTTTGTAAAAGACAGGTGAAGAGATCCTTCCAGCTCAGGGCAAGCTGACTGGCTTAGCGGTTGGGGGAGAGGTCGTTCCTGGTTCTCCCGCAGCCGCTGCCCAGGCGAGGGCTGGCGAGTGAGCCTCTGTGTCCGGGCGTGGGCGTGGGTTCTGAAACCATCCACTGTTGTCCAGCCTGAGGGCCGGACAAGTGTCAGCTGCCACCCATACGTCGATTGGGGCAGGACCAGGCAGCTGCCAGGTTCTCCTTGGTGAAGTCACTACTCTTTTTCTTTCTGCAGATTCCAGGCCCTGGAGGAACCCGACAGTAAGTAGCCCTTCCTTGCCCCACCTCCCCGGCTTTGTGCCCCTAAAATCGGACTCTTTTGCTAACAGAGCCGCTGGTTCTGAGAACTGCTGGTGGGTCATTCCCCTCCCCCAGTGACCGGGGTGCGGGCTCCCCCTGCAAGTTCAGGCTGAGTCTGCCCCATGTGGGGTGCTCTGAGCACAGTGGGGCCTCTGCCAGGCCCTGGCCGGCGATGGGGAGCTGCAACCCCTCAGCAGTCTCTGGCTCCTGGCTCATCCTGCCGGGGACTTCCAGAAGGGCCTGGCAGACCGTGGATTTGGTTTTGGCTACTTCGGGTGCCAGGTGGGGTCATTTCCCTTTTCTCCTTCACTCCGCTGTGGTTCTCATTCTCACAGCCGGAATGACAAATTCATAGCACGACTCTTTGAAAACTTAGCCATCACGGGGCGGGGGGGGGGGGGGGGGGTGCGGGAGGAGGCGCCTGGGTGGCTCAGTAGGTGAAGTGTCCGACTCTTGATTTCAGCTCATGTCATGATCTCAGGGTCATGAGAACAATCCCCACCTCGGGCTCTGCGCTGAGCGTGGAGCCTGCTCCAGATTCTTTCTCTGTCTCTCCCTCTGCCCCTCCCCTCCTGCTCACGCTCGCTCTCTCTTTCTAAAAAAAAAAAAAATGAAAACTTAGCCATCCCGTATGGAGCACTTACCATGAGCCAGGCACCTTGCTTTGTGCTTCTCAGAATTATCGTGGGTAGTCCTGACAGCACTCAGAGGTTGGTGCTGTTGTCCATTTTACAGAAGAAGAAACCCAGGCACAGACAGGAGAGGTGGGTCCACAATTGGAAAGTAGATCAGCGAACCCTGGCTTGACTTGAACCCTGGTTTGTCTGGCTTCAAAGCTGGTACCCTGAACTCTTGCCCTGAGCTGGAAGGATCTCTTCACCTGTCTTTTACAAAGAGCTTGCTGTGTGCAGGTGCTGGGCCAGGGGCTTTGCAAACATTACCCTGAACCTGCAGTTACCGGGGAGGGGGCCCAGACACCTGGCCCTCACCAGGCTGGGCCTGGCACACTGCTCTGTGCCCAGCCTCCAGGAGCAGCCTCGGGGGCGGGGGTGAGAGAAGGGACGTTGCCCTCTGGGGCTGAGGGACGAGGCAGGACAAAGCACTCCATATGGCTGCGTCTCAGCTATGTATGGTTCACCCAATTTTTTTTTTTCCATTTATCAATTTTTCCGTGACTTTCTTTTAACTCAAAATATTCATAGATGGAGAAAGGTTTCCATCCTTTAATTTTTTAATATAACAGACAGAACCACAATATGAGTTCAGTTTCGAATTATGGGAGGTCACATTCAAGTATGCTTGGGTCAGATAAGTGGCTGTTACAATACCAGGAAATTTCATGAAAAAGTCATTTAATGATTTGTGAGATAATCAAACATTTTTTGGCCATGGGAATCAGTGTTTTCACTGTAACTTGTTTAAAATGCCGTCTTTTGGACTTCAGATGATTATAAAAGGATAATCAGGATTGTGTAGATACACTTTGTGAATCACTTGACCTCATTCCATTTTGAAGGCTGGAGGTACATAGTATGCTTTAGAACATTTCATGAGACTTTTTTTTTTTAAAGATTTTTTTTATTTATTTGTTTGACAGAGAGAGAGAAAGTAAGAGAGGGAACACAAGCAGGGGGAGTGGGAGAGGGAGAAGCAGGCTTCCCGCTGAGCAGGGAGCCTGATGTGGGACTTGATCCCAGGACCCCGGGATCATGACCTGAGCCGAAGGCAGACACTCAATGGACTGAGCCACCCAGGCACCCCTTCATGAGACTTTTATACTTACCTATAAAAGTCAAAAACGAAACCACCATTTTCCTGAAGATATAGCTATTTTTAGAATACGTTAGTGTCGTCATACCGGATAGCTGTCCCGGGAGGTCAGGGCTGCAGAGTTGGGGTGGGTCTAGAGTGCACACTTACCCACAGGGGCTTATAAGCATGGATTCCAGAGCGAGGTGCCAGGGTTCAAGTGCTGGCCCACACACTTACTTGAGCAAGTTACTTGACTTCTCTGTGTCTCAGTTTCCTGGTCTGTGAAATGGGGAGGGTGCTAATATTAGCCACCTTAGAGGGTGGTTGTGCGGATTCTCAAGCACTGTATGGGATTCTGGCTCCTGTCGTTATTTGGTACAAGTTAAAAGCAACAGGACTTCTGAAACTCAACACAGGGCATCAGGCTCTCAAAGCCGAGAAGCCGTGGGTGGTGTGTGGCAGCTTTAAGGCAGAGAGGGAGACTCACTGGAGTCTACAGAGGTGAAGAAACGGGCTTCCCAGGGCGGCTGGGGGCACCCTGCATCAACTCCACACCCTCTGTGCCCACAGCAGCTGAAGAGTATATCGGTGGTGGAGTCAGGCATGGAAGAGCTGAGGTTAATGAGCCCCCCGCCTGTGGAGACCTCCCCCAATGGGGCAGCCTGCCTAGAGAGCATGCGGCTGCTGGAAGCCAGCCCACCTGCCGCCGGGAGCCCCTCGTCCCCCAGGGACCTTCCCGAGCCCCGGGTGATCTCAGATCATACCAACAACAGGATCGGTGAGTCTGCTGATTTGGAGGGTCCTGGTGTGGTCAGGGCTGAGGGGGCAGGGGGAGCTGGGCACTAGACCCTGGGCCCCCGACGGGAGCCAGGGACCCTGGGGTAGGAAGGCCCAGCGAGGAAGAGGCGTGGGTTCTCTTGCTGGCCCTTGTAAGTAGGAGCAGCTTTTTGTGGGAGAGTTAAAGCTTGTTCCGTCTCGGTAGCCCAATTTAAATTTCTGGAAAATCGGTGTAATAGTGATTCGGCCCTCACAGGGCCATTGCAAGCATTTGTGAAGTTGTCTGGGTGAGTGGGGGTGAAGGTTGGGGAGAGAGGCTCCCCCTTCCCCCAGGCCTGCCAACGTTGAAGTGGGACGTGAACGCTGCTCCCACCCCCAGCAAAGAGCCCCTTGCTGGGACAGGAGGAGACATGCCAGTGACAATAAGACCAGCCACTTGTCTGGGCGGAAGTCTTCTCTTGTCACGTGGCCTTCTGAGGACAGTGTCTGCCTCCCCTTTTCACACCCGGGGCAATGGCACTGTGAGGTAGGTGCGGGGAGATGTTCCCTGTCACATAGCTGCGGGGTGACAGAGCAGGGACTTGGCCTCACCCCGTGCCCGCGGGGCTTTGAACCCCTTGGCTTGCCCTCACCGGCACGGGCCTCAGCAGATGCATTGAGGCCAGCCCTTCCCGAACTGCCGCCGCCCTCTGCCTCAGGCAGACCTTCCGCTTTGGCCTCCCAAGGGTCTCCCTGCCTTCTCTCCAGCTTCTCTCCACCCTTGCACACCAGCGTGTCTCCACCAATATACAAGCCTTTCCCATCTGCACCCCTACTTCAACCCTCCTGGGGGTGGGGGGTGGGGGTCCCTGTCACTGTCAGGATGAATTCCAGATTCTTATTCTGGAGTTCAGACTGGTCACTGGTCACGAGCTGCCTCCTCCCCCCAGACTCACCTGCCTCCTGACCCCTCTGGCCTACTTCACCCACCCACTGGCAGTTTCCAGAGTTGACAGAGCCCTCCCTCCCTTTGGAGCTTCTCTGTGGGAGCTGCTTCCTCACCTGGGACAGCCAACTCCCCCTTTGAATCTAGTCAATTCCTGATGTCCTGAGGCCACTGCTTATTTGCCTCCTCCTCCAGGAAGTCTTCCTGGCCCTCTCCACTCTCCTGTCTGGACCAAATGCCCCTCTGCTATGCTCCCTCAGACGCTGGGCCTCCATACCCAGTATCCTCAGCCCCCAGCAGTATGACTGTATTTGCAGCCTCCCCACCTCCTCGCCCCCACCTGGCTGTGAGCTCCCTGAGGGCAAGGCCTTAGTGAGCTCCATCTCTGTCTTCTCTGGAGGGTTAACTATTGCTGGGTTAATACCAGAGAGGCATTTGTAATTGTCCTACACATTTCTATAACAGGCATTGGTGGATAGAACTCTTTGGGGCAGGGTCTTTAATATGAAACCAAAACTTTTGGCGTTGTAGCTTTCAGCACGTTTTATTTAAAAAGAGTGTTATTTGGGGCAGTACCACCAAAGCATCTCCTTTAAATTTCCTAAGAAGTCCTAACTTGAACATTTGGGTCTGTGCTGCGTGCAGTGCCCGGAACTGTGGGGGCAGGTGGAGGGAGGTACTGGGCTCCCAGGATGGCTGGGGTGCAGCCTGTTAGCCTCGCTGGGAAGCAGGGTGGTTGGGAGAGAGGGCCTTGGAGGTTCGCTCAGGAGCCTTTTGTCCTTCTGACACCATCCCAGGGGGCACCCCCTGCCCCACTGAACCTGTCTGGTACCCCAGGGGGACCAAACTGCAGCCTGAGCTCTATCCCTCTGCCCCTGGGCACCAGGCAGGGGGAGCCCTTTCACCTCCCACCCCACCAAGATAACTTCCCTGGATTCTAGAGCTCTGGGTGGGTAGAAGGTTCAAGCAGCTCCTGAAAGACCCTCCTTTCCCCTCCCAGCTTGTGGCGGGAGTGGGGGGGGGAAGGGCAGCCCTGTGATGAGGGATAGAGTCGGAGCAATCAGGACCCTCGGAGGTGAGGGAGGGATAGCCTGGCCCCTGGCTTTGGCTTCTTCAGACAAACCCACCTCCACTTCTCTCCCACCCTGCTCCGTATGCCTCAGCTTCTCCCCTAGTCCTGTCTGGCTGCTCTGTGCCCTGTCTCGCTCCCCAGGGTCCCCTCTCTTTCACCACCTCTGGCTCCCACCTCTTCCTAGCCCATCTGCTCAGGCTCCCAGGGCAAAGGGCCTGCAGGCCTTGGTGGAGGGTGTGTGGCTGGGGCCTGGGGCCCTGCTTTCTCTTTTGGAGTGTGTGAGGGGCTTGCCACACTTGTAGCTTTCCTCTAGTCCTCGCTGCTATTTTGAACACTTCCCTTTTTCCTGGAGGTGTTAAAAATCAAAACAGAAGAGCCAGCATTATGCAATTGGGTGGCGGGTGCAGGGCCCCCAAAGATCTTTTGGGTGTTCCTAAATCAGAGGGATATAACTGGGTGACCCAGAGAGGTAGGGGTCCCCAGCGCCCTGCTCCACCCTAGCTTTCAAGTTCCCTCTTGAGCATCCTCATTCAGACTCCAGAGAGAGAGTCCCAGGGCCAAGCTGCTGGGAGCTTGGGACCCTGCTCTGAGCTCAAGGCCATCAGAAGCTGGGCTGAGTGAAGGCCAGGCTCCTCACTTCCCAGCTTCTTGGGCAGCTTACTTAACTCCCCTGAGCCTCTGAAGCACCCCCTCCCACCCCCATCCCCACAGTGGATGGTGGTGAGGACTGCAGGGGGTCCTGCCTCTAAGGGGCTGCGCTGCCGATTCATCCAAGCAACACACAAGCAGTCCTACTATGCGCAGGTCACGGCCCAGCCGTGAAGGCCTCAGGCGGGAGATCGGCCATAAGTAACAAACACTGAAATATGGCCCTGAGCGAAGAATCACAGGCTGGTGTTCGTTATTAACAGGGCTGGGGTTCTTAGACTGTGATCAACTGTCTGGATTTACCTGAACTGAAAAGGTCCATAGGCCACAGGACCTTCACTACAACAACCAGGAGCAGCCCAGGCGAGCCGGAACACGTTGGTCACCCCAGGTTTCTGATGTAGGCATGTGGACAGGAGTGGAAAGGGCAGCTAGTCGGGTGGGAGTTTCTGCCGAGATTTCTACTAACTGCCTGGCGACTTTGGGCCGGTCATTTAACCTTTCAGGGCTTTAGGTTCTTTGTATCTGTCCACGGGGACAAGAGTAGACTGTCTACCGTGTGGCAGTGGTGTGAGGACTCAGGGGTCGTGTGGAAGGTTCTGGACGGTGGCCAGCACGTCCGCTGCTCACTGGGGCCGCAGTCCCTCCCTTCTCTGCCCCAGGCCCGCTTTCTCTCCCAACGCTGTGCTCTCCTTCCCTACCCCATCCCCACCTAAATGCTGAGAAGATCATGAGCCTCTCCCACAAGGGAGCCAGTCTTAGCATGCAGTTTCTAGCTGTTTTATGTCCTTTGAGCCTCAGGACACCTGTGAGGTTGATGGGGCTGGCGGTGTGTCAGAGAGATTGTGTCATCTGCCTGCAGCCACACAGTAGGAGAGACAGAGTTGGAGCTTGGACCCTCCTCTGCCTCCTCACCCTGTCCAGCTAGGGCTCCGGTCCCCTCACTTTACCCATCCTTTTGCCTTGCAGAGAAGATCTACATCATGAAGGCTGACACAGTGATTGTGGGGACCGTGAGGACTGAGGTGCCTGAGGGCCGGGGCCTGGTGGGGCCGGCGGGTCCTGAGTTCGAGGAGGATCTGGAAGTGGACCATGCTCCCCACTTCCCAGAGCAGGAGACAGAGCCTCCTCTGGGCAGCTGCAGGGATGTCATGTTCTCAGTAGAAGAGGAAGGAAAGGAGGCCCCCTTGCCCATGACCGTCTCCGAGAAATGAAGCCTGGCCTGGGTTGGGGCTGAGAGGGCAGTGGGGTGCCCCCCCGGGAGGCCAGGGTGGCCCTGGTGGCACCAGGCTGGTGGCAGAGGCCCCGTGTGGCCTGGACTGAGGTTCCACATCCAGGGGTAGAGCAGCCTGGAGCAAGGGGGTTCTGGTGGTCTCTAGTTGCATCCCCCCCGACCACTGCCCCCCAGCTCAGACCCTCGGGGAGCCTGGGCTTGTGCAGGAGAGACAACCTAGGGGCTGGATCTGAATGGCAGTGTTTGTTGGAACAGCGGACAGACAGCAGAGACTGGGCACCTTGTCTCCTGCCAGTGCTGGGAAGATGCCCCCAGGGCCTTGAGCATCACACCGCTGGGGCCGGGGCTCACTTGCGGAGGAGGCATCCCCCTGTGCCTTCTACTCTCACATGGACCTTGCCGCCATGCCAGCAGCCCCCAGTTACTGTAACGTGGCCCCCTGTGGGCACTGAGCCAGCGCCTGCCATGGTCGCTCCTGAGTCAAAAGGGACGTCAAGGGGTGGGGCGTCGTCGGCTGGCCCCATCTTGGCAACAGCCAGCGCACGGCGCTCTGTGCCCTGTGTCCGGGTGAGTGCCCAGCCTGACCCCCAGCCCTGCCAGGGCTCGAGTGAGACCCTCCTGGTGCTGCCAGCCCTCCCCTATTCTGTAGCCCTCACGGTGGGCTGGAGGCCTGGGGTCCCTGACTGGTCTCACAAGGTCCCCACCAGTCCCCTCCGTGGGAGGCATCTTAGGACCCAGAGGTCTGCAGACACTCAGCAGCTGTAGCACCCTGCCCCCACAGGAGACCCTCCCCAGCCAGCTGCCGCCTAGAGAAGGGCCTGCTGAAGGGGAGCCCTGGGCCCTTCCTGGGTCCTTGCCTGCTCCGTGGGCACCTCTGCTCTGTCCCGGGGACATGCGCCTTCCCCACACCTGCCACGCCCTCGGAGCCCAGTGGCCCCCGCCCTGCCCTCGCGCTCCAGCCCCCAGCACCCATGGCTGGGATACAGATGTCGGAAAGCAACACCATTTCACCCAGACATCCTGCCTTATTCCGGATTCTCAGAAAAGCAAGTAGTCCAGTCTGGACTTGAGGACTTTTGCATTTCACGCTAAGGAGTAAAGCTGTCCCGACTTGGGTCTGCGGGCCGGCTCTCCCCAGGGCTTTCAGACTCATGTAAGCAAACCAGGGGCCTTGGAGAGGGACGTGTGGGCAGATGACAGGGCTGCCCGCAGCTCAGGCCGTTCAGTCTCGGCTGCCTGGAGGCCCCTGGAATTACCCACTGGAGGCCAGGCCTAGGAAAGCTGCTATTTACCCGCCAGCCTGCTCACTCTCTGAAGGAAGTTGGGGCTGGGTCAGGAATCACAAGGTAGTTTCTGAAATTACTCAGATGTTTGGGGGAAAGGTGGAGAGGTTAGGACACCGAGAGGGACTCACACCGGAACCTGAAGATGTTGCCATGTGGTGGACAGTATTTGCCCGGATGTCTCCTGTGGGGACAGCGTGGGCGCACCACGCCTGCAACTCCGGCTGGAAGGGACCCGAAGACGTCCCACCCTGCTGAGCAGGGCACTGGCAGTCTTGGCTTGAAGATATGGACCGCATGTTGGACGAAATGAAGCACTCCTTTGCCCAAAGTCCCTTCACAAAACCTCTGATCCTCTGAAACCTTTGATCCTCAGAAAATTTGTAAGGTCGCTTAAAAATAACCAATCGTAAGTTTCAGGAAATGATCTTTGAGATTGAGTATTTGAGAATGTCTGAGCAGGAATGGTCTGGGCAATCTCTCTCCCCCCAGAATAGCAGGTTCCTCTTCATCCCCCTACCGAGGCGGCCAGCTTCTATGCTCTGTGTGCTGTGTCGAAGTGAGTGCCCAGCCTGGCCCCCAGCCCTGCCGGGGCTCGAGTGAGACCCTTCTGGTGCTGCCAGCCCTCCCCTATTCTGTAGCCCCCAGAGTGGGCCTCGGGTCAACTGACTTGTCTCACAAGGTCCCCACCAGTCCCCTCTGTGGGAAGCATCTTGGGACCCAGAGGTCTGCAGATGCTCTGTGCAGGAAGCCAGCTACCTGCTGGGGCAACCATTCCCACTGCTGGAGGTTTTTCTTTATCCTCAGAGGCAAACCCTTCCTCCATGTAATTCCCACTCCCTGGTCTAAGACTATCCTCTGAGGATATTTAAAAGAAAGCCTCTCTTGCCATAAGTCTCCCTTTGGGTATTTGTAGAAAGAGATCCTGAGCCTCCCTGTGGCCCTCCCTCTGGACGGGGCTGAGCTGCCCCGCAGCTTGGGGAAAGGGAGTTCCAAAGTAGCAGCATGAATGCCCAGCTTTGGGGGCAAGGAGAGGACTGAGGGGTAAATGGAAGCCTTGGACTTGGGGCCTGAGCTGGAAAGGGCCCAGCCTGCAGCCCTGATCACAACTCAGGGCCAGTGGGGGGCCTGCTCCCCACCTCAGGCAGCTGGCCCGGAGCTCCCCTCTTGACTGTGGCGCACCTGTGGGGTGGACGAAAGAGACAGAGGGCTGTGGTCAGACCTCACCCACCCCATCCCCAAGACTCCAGCTCATGCCCAGACCTCACAATCAAACCCAGCCATTTACCCAGTGTTTCCCTGCCACGTGGTTGGTCCGAGAGCCAGGGCGAATTTCCCTGCCCTGACCAGTGATCAGGGACCATTTCTTAACCTCTGTCCGTTCTGACGTCCAGGTGGGCAGAGGACTCAGGGTAGCGGACGGCAGGCCGTAAGGGAGCCTCCCACGCATGAGTGACATCCATCTTCCTGAACACTTGTATTCAGGGAGTGACGGTAAGTGATGTGTCCTAAGGAAGCTAGGCAGGCTGGTAGGTTGTAAGCTGTTTTCGGTTTATAGAATCTCTCAGGCCAGGGCCATTCCCTGAAATGGAACAAGAGGCTGAATCTCCAGGGCCTCTGTGTCCTCTCACTGCTCCCCAGGGCTGAGATCTTGAAGAGCAGTCACCGGGGACTGGCTTGTTGGGCTAAACAGAAATGAAAATCTGTGCAGGGACAAGGCAGCTCTCTCGCTGCAGGTTCTTGGGTGCCTTCTGTCCCACCCACACTCTTGACCCTGTCCTCTAAGAGAGAACAGTGGGGGAGGTATGGGATGGGAGGGGCAGGGCCTGAGACGGAGATGAACTCAGGGCAGAAGGCTTGAGTGGAGGTCACAATGAAAATATTAAAAGTTTCGAGGTCGGCTCTGTGGGCCTCATGAGGAGCTGGCAGAGCCCACCTGGGGCTCCTGCACCCTCCCACATATCCTTTACCCTGGCCCGGCACCCGTGATGGGCACACACCCCGAGGCCATGTCCAGGGACTTGCTGTGAGCAAGGTGCAGGCAGAGAGGCCTGCCCACCACTCTCTGGAGCGTAGACACAGAACAGCAGTGATGTGCAGGTGGGGATGGCTTCTGAGGTCAGACTTGGGTTCAAATCCCGGCTCTGCCGCTTACCAGCTGGGCGATCTTGGTTATGGGAGGCCCAGGGGGTAACACGGGTCTGGCTGTTTCCTGGTCTGCGAGGTGAGGGTATCAGCCCCTATCTGGTAGGGTCGTGGGGTCCTGTTAGAGGCCACCTGGTCCGTGGCTCGTGCTTGCTGCTGGCCACCTGTGTCCTGGGTGCAGCATGGCCCCACCTGCCATGAGCGAGTCCTTCCTAGGCTGGCAGAATTCAGCTCCAGGTAACCTTTGAAAGCGTGTTGTAATTGGTGGTTGGTCCCAATAAGCCTGTGTTGGCTCGGGTAAGGTTCACTAGGGCTTTCAGGCTCTCCTGGGACCTGGCCTCCCTTGCCGCCAGATTGCAGTGGGAAACCCCACAGTGAGTAGACCCCTTCTTGCTCTGTGGGGTGCCCTAGAGAACCTCTGAAGTCAAAGTCCTAGGACTGGGCTGCTTGTTAGATGTCTGAAACTCGGGGTGTTTGCGATGTGCTGTGGGTCCCTCTGCAGGGGACGTCCTGCTCATGGTTCTAGTGCATTCCAGTGCATTGCTGCTTAAGATCTTTCTTGAGTGGCCTCCCTCGCCCCCTTCTTCCCTGTCTCCCATCCTTTTAAAAACACCTAAGATGAGCCAGGCCCAAGTCTAGCTGCAGAGGATATACTGCACTCAGACAGACTTGCTGGCGTGGGTCCTGTGTCTGGTAGATGGAGACTGATGACAGTGCCTAACTGATCAGTGAACAAGGTGATTCCAGAATTCATCATGCTGTGTGCTATGAGAAGCCCCCATTAGGGGTCTGTGGCAGAGTGTCTGTAGCAGAGGACCAGCTCCAGCCAGGTGGCCGGGGAAGGCTTCTCAGTGGAGATGTCCCCTGAGCTCAACCTGAGTGACATGACAAGCTGGGGGCGGGGGGGGGGGGGGGCTGGGGACCTGGGGGCAGAAGATTCCGGGAAGTTAGGGGAACAGCAGCTGCAAAGGCCCTGAGGTGGGAATGCTTCTGGCCTTGAGATTCAGGAAGCACAGCCCAGCGGTAGAAGCAGGGTAGAGAGAAAAAGGAGGTGAGCAGGGAAGCCGGCCGGCCGGATCACTTAGATTTTATCATAAAAACATCGGTCCACGGTTATGTCTCTTTTTGTCTATTAGAACAATAAACATCCTGGTATTATCTCAGGACTAGGCCTCAAAGGCCCAAGCAGAGGCACCAAAGGTTGTTTTAACCTATTTCTGAGGGAAGTCTAGGAAGGAGGCAGTGGCGGCTGGGCGCCAGGAGGCAGTTGGCTGAGCTTTCTCAGAAAAGGCAGAGAGTTCAGACTGCATTCCTGGCTGATGGCAGGCAGTGCAGGGTCCATGGCTGATGTCACTGCGGGGGGCTGGGAGCCGGGAGTCTAGGTTCCCCTTTCTTCGGGTGTCTTCCAGGAGAGTAAAAACCACACCAAAAATTCCTGGGGGAGGGTGGAGCCTTTGTGTTTGGGTGCGGGGGTGTGGGGGTGTGGGGCCTCTTCGGACCCTGGCCTGCACGCACCCCCTTCCATTCATCAGCCTGACTTCTCCTGCCCAGGAAGGGTGCGGCTCCATCAGGGTTCACTTCCCGCTCGAGCAGTTCCAGCCACATAGCCCCCAGCTTCGGTTTCCTAGATCTGCAACACGGACGTAATAACCCCCTTACGAGATGGTGAGGCACCGAGGTAACCCGGGTCAAGTGCTTGGCCTGGCTCTAGGCACCTTTCCTGTTCGGTACGGGGCGGCCCATATAGGCATTTCAGGAGCTTTTGAGTTGGCTCCCGCCTTTCTGCATTCTTTCTGTGTTCGGGCTTCATTCATAATAGCCGAAAGGCTGAATATCAGCACTGTGTTTAACAGACTAGGGCTCAGAGAGGCGCACCGACTGACCCACTGTCACACAGCCAGGAAGGTGCCCTCCCGTCCACGTGGCTGGGCTGCCCCTGTGGTTGGGGCCACGTTTATATCAAGGTTATCATCGGGCCCTGTGCCCTCTGGACAAGCAGAGATGGTTGCAGGAGGCTGGGTAACCTGCCCGAGGTCAAGCAGCAGGCCAGGTGTGGCTTTCTGAGTCCCCCTGGCAGGGCAGGAAGGACACGGAGCTGGCCCAGGCAGAGCCTCTGTCTTCGGAGCTGTGCTCCCTGAAAGTGGCCTGATTCAGGGGAGACTCGGGGCTGGGAGTACAGGCAGTGCAGGGGGCCTCCTGATGATGGTATCGCTTTGTGCGTTCTCAGCCACTCCTCGTACCCCACTCTGCCCCACGCCCCCGCGGAGCCCTGGAAGGAAGATGAGTCAGGGGCAAACCTCCCCAGATCACAGATGGGAAAACTGAGCTCCATGGAGGTTAAAGGGGTTTGGGCTAAGGTCCCAGCTCAGTGCTGCCTGCTGGAGACAAGGCCTGGGGAGAAATCACCGTTCAGTCCAGGTGAAGGGTAAAGATGACTTGCTGCTTTTTATTCTTCCTTTTACTTATTGACTTTTTAAATTTGGCATTAAAACAAAAGTGCGGTGAGTTGGGTTCTTACTGATAAGGCAGCTTTGCAGGCGTCGAGGCGGTCCCATAATCAGATGGGAACATCACACGAGCAGTCTGCAGCCTCACGAGCACGCGGCTTGTTCAGTCCAACAGGGCTCTTGCTTTGGAGGGCCAGCGCTGGGTTTAATGCTTTGCTGTGCTGTCCGAAAAACTGTGCATTTTTGAACAAGGGGCACTCTGTTTTCCTTTTTCCCTGGGTCTCCCAAATTAGGTGGCTGCTCTGCATCAGGGGCAGCAGCATCGTCTGTCCGGATTGTACTCGATGCAGAGGCACTTTCCACACTTGACTGCTTACGATCACAGTGACCATGATTACAGATGAGCTCGCTCAGCCCCATTGTTCAATAAAGTGGAGTGGCTACTAACTGACCTCAGCCGTCCCGGTTATCTCTTGCTACGTCATAAACCACCTCACAACTTAGCGGCTTGCAACAACATCCGTCACTGATTTTGCTCACAGATCTGTAGTTTGGCCGGGGCTTGGCAGGAAAGCTCACCTCTGTTCACTGCTGGCCTGGGGGATCGCACTGCTGACAGAGCAGGCAAGTTGGTGCGGGCTGTGGGTTTCTCTCCACAGGCCTCTCTCCGGGAGGCTAAGGCTTCCTCACAGCATGGCGGCTGCGTTCCTAGAACAAACAATCCCAGCGTAGAAAGTGGGACGCGCCAGGTTCTTAAGATCGGGGCCCAGCACCGGGCCCAGCATCACTCTGGCCGCACGCTATTGGTCAAGCAGCCCCAGAGCCCAGGTTCAAAGGGAGGGGCTGCAGACCCCCCCAGCCCGTGAAGAATTTTGAGATCTTACTATGTGACAGGCACTGTGCGTAACGCTTTGCATCCTGCCTTGTTTCATTCTCCCAGTAATTGGACTCTTCTTGCTCCCAAAGTTGCCTCAAGGAAGCTAAATCACATGTCCAAGGCCACCTGGATGGAATTGGAATTGAAGTTAGTCTGTGTCCAGAGTGTGAGCTCTGACCTCGGGGACACCCTGTGCATTCAGGAACCCCCACAGGCAGAATGTGGCAGGGCCAGAAATCAAGCCTACCTGTTTGATTCGAGAACGTTTGAGGCTTTCAAAATAATCAGCCCCAACACCCCAGTTTCCACACGGAGAAACTGAGGCTGTCAGAGCTCTTGCTGGGTGTCTTCTGGGAAGGGGGGCAGGGTCTGGCACCTTCCGGGGCCGGATGGGGGGCCCCCCTGTCGGGGCTGCACCCAGCCTGGCCAGGAAGTCACAGAGAACTGTGGGCAGATTATGCAAGAGGCTGTCATAGGGACATTGTTTTTCGTTGTGATTACACTTCACTCAGGAAATACCCACAGCCTTGGTGTGGAGGGAGGAAGGTGTCGTGGCAGGTGTCAAGGGAGGTCTCCTCACTGCAGGCAGAAGACCCCTCGTGAACCCTGGGGCACACTCGAGATGGACCAATGTGCCCTGGGACAGGTCCAGGCACACGGGAAGTTCTCGGGGAGCCTCCCTGTGCCCCTGTGAGCTGGGCTCTGACAAAAGGGGTAGATAGAGCTCCATCCCTACCATCCAGGAAGTCATATAGTCGTTAGAAAGACAGTTAAGAACTCTGGCTTATCGAGGCTTGCTGTGTTCTCCTTGCAACCCCGAGGCAGTGATTACTATCGTTATCCCTATGTTCCGGTGCTAGGAAACAGAGGCACAGAGTAGTTCGGTCACTTGCCTGAGGTCACACAGCTGCTAAGTGGGGCAGCCAGCATTCAAACCCAGGCCACCTGGCTGGAGTCCAAGTTCCCAACCACTGGACCATGCTTGTTCCATTGGAGCTGAGGCTGGGGTCATCACCGTGCTGCGGCCCCACCCCTGAGTCCCAGGCCCTGCAGAACTCGCCGGGGCATCCGCCGGGCTCAGTAAACGTACAGCGAATGGAGTTTGCCTCCCAGCCTCCAGCCGCCTTGTCCTTTCCGAAGCCCGGCTCTGACCGGGCTGTTCTCACACAGAACCTTCGATGATTCCCCAGTACCTGTAGGCCGAAGTCGGCTGGTCAAGCCCTCACAGGCAGGTCCGGCTACCTCCCATGGCTCCTGTATCCAAACCACTCTGAAACACGGCCGTGCCCCGCCCCCTCCATCACCAAATACCGGGGGCACGTCTCACCATGAAATCTCAGCCCAGTGCCCCAGTTCCCAAGCCTCCAACCTCAACTTTCTCCTCTTCCTCCAGGAAGCCTTCCAGGACCACGCAGGGCCAGGACCGCTTTGTCCTCTGAGTTCCCACAGCACTGGCTGTGAAAAGGGTTGGAGGCCTAATTCCAGCAGGTTCCCAAGAAATACCTCTGGGTGAAAAGATGAATTTGTCCATTCATTTAGCTGCTCACTGAGTCATCTGAGCAGCAACCCGTACCGAGCACCTACTGTGTGTCAGGAACTGTGTGGGGAAACACAGTGGGGCTGGGAGGAGACGGGGATATATGGAACTGCTCTCGGGGACTCAGAGCCTGACTGGGGAGGCCTGCCTGGTGTCTGGCAGTGGCTGAGGGCGTGATCATTGCTGGGGCTCTAGCGTGTGGCGCCTGGCCTGGACAGTGGGCCTCTACCTCTTCCTCTGTAAAATGGATGTATAAGAGGACCTGTCCCAAAGAGAGACGACAAGGATGAAGCTCATTCATTGATTTGTGAATTACTGAGCTCAAACTCTATGTGCTGCTAGGTGCTGGGGACACAGCCCTGCCCTTGTGGAGGGACAAGAAAGAGAGCATGAGATAACACCAGCCAGCGGGAACTGCTCTAAAGACAAAAAAAATGCAGTGGTGTGTAGGGCCCCTAGTTGTGGGTCAGGGGTTGCAGCCAGGGCTTGAGGATTCGGCACATGGTGTACAAAGGTCCAGGGTAGGGGGTGAGGAATTCGGGACATGCAGTGAGCAGCTGTGATGGGGATGTCAGCGACGAGAGTGTTTGCAGGTCTGGGGAGGAGAGTGCCGCTCTCCTGCCTTCCCACGTTGAGGTCTCTAAGGAGAGAGGGGCGAGATGGTGGAGGAAGGGCCTTAGGGGGCCCGTCCTTGTGCAGGAGTTGGGAGGGAGACTGGAAGGGCTGGGCTGGCTGTTGGTGGGAAGTTGCAACAGCCTCCCGATGGTGGGGGAACTGCAGGGGAACAGGCCTGGGGGTAGTTTCCTTTGAGTGTGGAGGGGAAGAGGGAGGCTGAGCACTTCGGGAACTTCACAGGGAAAACTTCTCCTGCACATTGGGGACCCAGGGCTCCCATTCTGGGAAGGCAGAATGTATGGCCACCATCAAGTTCTGAGTTCCCTTTTATTGAGCACCTACTATGTGCCAGGTGCTGTGGACTCCCAAACTCTGATTTTTTCCAGCATCTCTGCAAAGGGGACTTAACTTATCCCCATCCT